ATTTTAGTAAAAATGATGCCTTCAAACATGTGAACCAGTTTATAATTTGCAGCACATTTCCAATTTTCTGAGGTATATATATATGTATCGCAAGTTCAAGTAAAAACATGTACATTTATCTGTCCTAAAGCGGTATACATGGTGTATTGTATATATTTGAATTGAAAAAATAATGCTTTCCGCTTAATTAAAATTTCCTTTTTTTGGCTCTTTGATGTTTTTAAATTTTTTATTTAGATGTGAGCTTGACTGTATTATGCCGGATATACATTCTAATTCTGTCACTCAATAATCCTTATTAGTTGTAAACCCTTGTGATCGTGCTGAAGTGGAAATCGTCATGATAGCAACCAAAACTACAAATTTTAGTAGGATTGAGCATTTGATGTGGCTCACTAAATCAACTGATGGCTCTAAATCAGCATATTGCGAACTGTGTAAATCCACTATTGTGCTAGAACAGTGTTTCCCAACCAGAGTCCGCGGTCTCAAATGAGTCCGCGGAGTGTTTAAATAAGTCCGCAACGAGCCAGAAATTCACGGCGGGCTGAAAACGTTTTTGCGAGACTCAACCATCAGCCAAGTTACAATTTACGTTAGAATTTACATTAAATATAAAAAGGCAAGTTTATTCACATAACATTAGTCGATTCAATATTTACAGGATACTGAGTAGGGCTGGGCATATATTCAACTATTAGAATAGCAATTTACTATTCGAAAATTTGGTTAATTCTTAATTGAAAAGCGGCAATACTAAAAATAAAATGGAGAACACCATAAGTTTTATTTTATGATGGTCCACGACAAATTAAAAACGCTCTTTTATACATTGCAAATCGCAAAATTTCGGGGGCTACTGTAGTATACTGTAATAAGAGCTTTTTCCCTTAAGATTATTTGCTTTACTGTCTCGACACTGGTACGTGCAGTACTGGGGTGCCGTAAGTGTTGTACGAACAGCTCAGATTTGTTGAATTTACAAAAATACGAATCAAAACAAAATATAATCGGGCACTTCACCACACATTTTTGTGTCCACGGATTGTCGTGATATTTCTTGAGTAGTATTGCTTTTATTTCGTCAACACAACCGCAGATTAAAATGATCACAATTAAATTAATATTAAAGCAGGGCGATGAATATTTTTTTTGATTTACTAATATATATACATTGATTATATTTTTAATAAATACTAAATCAAGTTGTACTTTCTGGAAATTTAAAGCAGATAGTAGAAATTTTCTAACGGCGATAACAAATTCGCAAGATCGCAAAAAAATATGTATCAAAACTAATATAATCGGGCCATATATTCTCATATTTTTATGTTTGCAGATAGCCATGGCATTTTAATGAAGTAATGCTCTCATCTTGTCATAAGTCGACGCGACCGCGGTGACCATGAACACAATTAAATTAAAATAGAAAGAAATTTTAAATTCTCGTCGTTGTCATGGATTGAATATTGTGCGACAGAAAAGGCCATTTACACACTAAAAATTCGACTCTTTTAACAAACGCGCAATTGCGGCGAATTTCCGATTTTGGGAATCGTAAAATTCTGTTGTGTTTGGTTTTATTACTTTTTCACACCGAGTACATTTGCAATAAACGCACGTTGAGTCCGCAAAGGTTTTCGCCGGTGAGAAAATAGTCCGCGACCAAAAAAGGTTGGGAAACGCTGTGCTAGAAATTCAAATCATGAGGTTTTTGTACTTGTTAAAATTGTTGGTTTTCTCTGGCTTTATTCTGTCCTAATTTGGCTTTTTTCCATCGCTGGGATCTGACGACCCTGGTCTAGACTGACAAACGATTCTACAATAACTTCGGCAGTATGCTCCAAGAGTACTGTGATAACTTTTATTCTCAATGGTAGCAGTGACAAATGCCCAATTTGTTCAAATTCTAAGCAAGGGAAGAATCTCGTTTGAAGGAAGCTGTAAATTAGATACTGAAGTTTGAGCAGTCATGTGACATTCATGGTTTGAGAATATTTATTTTCGCCTTTCGGATAATACTTGGCAAGGTTTCTTGAAATATTTTCAACACTTACGACTTAAAATTAGTCACGTCCTGTATCTGAATTGTATGATTTGAATAAATCTTAAATAAATAATGAAACATTTACTCCGGGTACAAATAAATATTCAAATCGACAACTTAAATGGAACATAAAAAATACAAATTTTGTGTCGATTTTGCAAATTTGTTGTATGCTTGTGTGCAGTTATCTGCACATTCAGTGCCCATTCGCTTTTGTGTATGACCTTATTACCGATCAGTCGATCGCGATCTATTTGGAAGATTTTAGTCGATCGACGTCGAAAGCAGGTTGGCCACCCCCGATATATACCAAAGAAACTTTACTATTACTGATAGGGCAATCTATAAAATCTTTTTGTGTAAATGTGGACAATCCCGTTTAAGATGTTCAGTCTGTTTGCAATTAAAACATGCTTTGCAATTGCTACGCCAGAACCATACCTACCCCATCGATGAGGTTGCATGGTGTACCATCAAAATTGCGATTGCTGTTAGCACGTGGCGACCCATGTCCTATAGCAGGGGTGGGCAACCCCTGGCACGCGTGCCAAACTTGGCACGCGAGCCCATTTATCCGGCACGCGAGCGAGGCCTCGGAAACGAGATCATTCTCCTTCAGATAAATGGTTTCAAAATTATCTGATGAAACCCTGTGTTCGTTTATTTATTATCGTTCAAAAATTTCTTATTTAACTCTTTGTGTCCTTTGTGACATATGGCTAAAAAAATATATTTATGACATAACAAATGAGTGAGCTCACGAGAAGAGCACAGCATTCATTTGGCTACATTCTTACATAATATAGTTTGTCTGTGCCACCCTTTTACTTCATTTCTGCTTAATTTATGAAGTCGTAATGCTCATGTTGTTTAGAATTACTTGCTAACTTGCTGTTATAAATTTATTTCGAAAAAAAGTATTAGCGATAGCGAATGGAATACAAGAGAGGAGTGCAGAAAACGAACTATTTCGTGATTGGGATGTCATTCCCGAAAATTTTCCATGTTTTTAAAACTTTGCAACTGCAATACTCTCTATGTTTTCATCTATATATGCTTGTGAATTCCTGTTCTCAATTATAAACTTTATTAGGTCTCGTGATAGAATTAGCCTACAAGATGAAACCAGTAGTTAGCGTAAATCACAAAATATAAACCCGATGTAAAATCTCTATCAGCGGTAATGCAGCAGCAGAAGTCCCACTGATATAGAATAAGAAAAGTAATCAAATATATTTCTCGGACTGATGTTTTCTCGAATAGGGAATGTGTCTGTACATGTTTATAAAGTTTATTATTGAGTATATTTGCTTTGAAATAGGAAAGAACTGTTTTTAAATTCGGGTCGGCACGCGGAAGTATTTTGTCGTAAATTTAGCTGATTTTGGCACGCGAGCCGAAAAAGGTTGCCCACCCCTGTCCTATAGTATTTCATTCAGTTTTGCTAAAATGCGCTCGCCAATACCTCCGTTGGAAGAAATGTCGTTTTTCTGATGAGCTGCATTACCAGTATTATTCTGTTTCACGGCTACAGTGCAATGTCTAGGGCCTAGGCATTTCTTTTTTCTCAGAGTGGTTAGTATTGTAAGGTTCTTGGATGATGTTCCCTAGACTGCGTGCCGAGACTGCGCTTTCTTTCAACCGTCCGCTTCCAAGTCACTAGTAGTTGAAAATGTGTAAAATCTTGGTTGTGTATTATATTCCTTGGTTAAAACAATAACGATAAAATTGATATAAAAGTTCAAGTAAAAGTAACTATGACAGTAAAAGATACGCCCAAAAAGCTACAATGGCCAGCGCATTACAGGGTCACATGCATAGGTGTCGCTTTAGACGTAATTCAGACATTTATTCATTCAAACGTTCGTTCATGTCATTTGTTTGAAAAATTAATTTACGGATAAAATATTGATTAATTAATAAACGGGTTATGAATTGAATAAATATAAGACCAGGTTTTCTTGCAGTAAGCGCGTAATATGTTTAAGGCCTGTTCATAGAGACCTAGACTAAAATACAGACTATATGACAAAAAGAACAATAAATTTTGGGAAATCATGTCAGGAGAGTTTTTAACTTGGCATGAAAGTAGGTTTGTTTTTAGATATATATAGAATTGTAACAAATTGCGAAGAAAAAGTAAATCTTACTGAGGTATTGTTTTTTTATATATCATGGTGAACTATGATTTTTAGTCAGCATTCAAATTTTGCATCTGGTGTAACAGACTCTGCTCTAATAATGTAAATTGATCAACTTGCAATAGCTGTTTAACATACAACATTTATGAAAAGCAAAGGGCGCCAACACAATCAAACTATCCGTTGAAGTATCGCCTACCCTACAAGATTGATTATGAATTGTTGTAGCTGTGAGGAGTTTTAGAAGATAGTTATTACGGTGATGTGAGATAATATGTGAGTGCATACTACGTAATAACTGATATTACAGGAAAAATATTATAGCACGATTTTTGAATGCCCGAGAGGAAAGATTCAAAACCGATCTTGCACTTCCCAAAGAAGAGTTTCATTTTGTAATACATTCAGATACAACTTTTCATAGAAAATCCGGTGTAGGTGAATGAACGCGACGTTGAATCGATGGATGACCTTGTCTGGACGTATATTTACGACTGTCCGCTGATTTAGATCAGCACAACGTATAACTATAGAGCATAAAATAGAAGCTTGTGATTTCCAAGTGAATATTGCTATTGCAATATACTTTACGGTTAAATTTAATTTATATTGTTGAACTAACAAAGCCAATTTAATTTTTATTCACAAATATTATCATCCTTGGCTATCATTTATTACCAAAAGTTACAATTAAATAAAGCTTAAAATAAGCTGCGTTTTCAAAACAAACATGATCTGGAGACTAAGATTACACTTTTATATACAGATAAAATCATTTGGTGGTGTAACAAACTTCATTTAATAGACTGCCTCGAGGTTTTTGTGGCGACAAAATAACTTTTAAATCGATATATAGAATAACTTCTGAATCAATATCTTACAGTTATCGGTTGATAGAATGTAAAAGTATTTAGCAATCTTGAGGCGTATATGTTTTGTAGAAATGAAGAAATTACGACCAAATCCAATGTCTCGGGCAAATATATTTTCCTACCTATCATATTGGTAAGTAAGATATTTTTTCGACATTTACGATTTACGCTTTAATTACTACTATGAAAAATTACAAACCTTCGAGGCTGGCGAAGATATTGATAAAAAATGAGTTCTCTCAATCAGTAAATAAATATTTTTATGGGAAATTTATTTGAGCTTTGTATACATATCTATAGTCATATTGCAGAAGTTGTTTAATAAAAAGGATTTAATTGTTCAGTATTAAAATGAAATATATATAATATGTGAATGTCATATGTAATTGTGATGTCAAAATTTAATTCAAAATATGCACAAAAATTAGTAAAATCATGCAATGACTAAATGGCTAATAGCATCAACATTCAACCAGGTGGTTGAACGATTTTTTTGCTGAAGGATCCAAGCGAACCTTACAAGAGTCTGATATGTTTGAACTTGATGCTTCTAATATGTCGGCAGAAATTACACGGGATTTAGAAAGGTACGTTTGAACAAAATAAAGTAATTCATTTCTTGTACAATACAAAGTCGGTGGGATACCAAGCATGATTGTATATTGCAAAGCCACAATAAAAAATACTCCATCTGTCAATTTTATTCAGAAATTGGGAGAAAGAAATTCGAAGATCTAAAAAAGAAATTAAACCGAGTTTAATTCGAGCAGTAGCAATGACGTATAGAAGTCAATTTATATTATGTGGTGTTTTGATTCTTATAGAAGTGAGTAGTAAATGTATTAAATTCAATTTTCAAATGTACAATGCTGCCCCATTTTGTGAGTTATTATTACCATTGCCTGTTTATAATACCCTTACAACCAAAATGTGATTATGGAAAAAAATAAAAATGATAAACAAAGTTATTTGTTCCAGGAATGTCTCAGAACAGCAGTACCAGTCTTGATAGCATATCTCGTAAAATACTTCGAGAATCAAGCGCTTACTCCAGTTTGGCATGCATATTCTTACGCAACAGGGATAAGTATAGTTACAATAACATTGGCTATTTTTCATCATCAATATTTTTATATAACGAGTAGAATTGGATGGCTTATGCGTGCATCAACTTGTTCTTTGATGTATAAAAAGGTAGGATACTTTCGTATACTTTTATAATATTGCAATGTTTCAACTGCAGTATGACATCCCAGATGCACATGTATATATTTATTGCCAGCGTTGTGAATAATCATATAATTTAAAACTTCTTCATCAAATGACGAAAATCAGTCTTCGCTTTTATCGAGGTTATTGTACGTCGCTGTACTGCTTTCCTTTCTCAAAAGTAGTGTAGTTTGAGCATTCGAACAATGACTATTGTAGATCGATGAACCATAAAAAAACGATCAACCGAGTCTTTCAATGGTTTAATTAATGGTTTGCAGCATATGTTTTTGTATAAAGTCTTGTTCCTTCAATTTTATAATTACAAATGCTGTCGATATACTCAATCGCATACAGATTCGTTTTTCAGACACTTCGCTTGAGTCAGAAATCATTGAATAATACAACGACAGGTGAAATAGTTAATCTCGGAGCCACAGATGTTCTTCGATTTGATCGGGTGAGTAAATATCAAACATCCATCTAGAACAGGGGTGGCCAACCGGTCAGAGACCAAGAGCCGCATTTCGTACTTTGTTCCCGCGAAGACCCACATTATAAGCAACAACATAAATGAACATCAGATATACCTTTATTCAGCTCTGCTTGGATTGGCTCTGCTAGTTTATTGTAAATGTCACTAACCAACATGATTAAGACAGAAATTTACAAGCCATTTATCATTATGCATGCTACCTTGCGGGACTTCTGGCAATCCTTGGATTGAACAATCCTCTTTAAGTTAGGCTAGTCGTTGTAGCTACATGGAGTTCTTTCACATGGATGTCAGCCAGAACAGATCAAGGCTTTGATTTCGCGTATTTTAGGGTAGAAATCGCCTATTCGTCAATGTATGTTGACATAAACATTGTCAATATCCAAGCGTGTGATGTTTGGCCTTAGGGTATTTTTCCATTAGTATGCTATTCCATAACTCAATGGTCCTCATCTGAAAGACTGACCAAAAGGGAATTTTAAACAAGCTGTATCTCAAATTAAACGACGTAATCTGTAAGGTCTTATCTGTACTTCAATTACTTCACTCTAATGGTAAACCGCTATAGTTCGGATTCGGTATGATTACGACAGCCGCAGTAGAGCAATAAACGCGTCTCACAACGAAGAATTTGATTGTGACGTAATAATGTACGATTACATTATGAATTAATGGCTGCGTCCATGTGTCTTCGGCGTGAAAGAAGAATGCACCACAAATCATAATATGTTTAATCGAAACATGATTATTCGTAGTTTAAAGGTAATATTTTTTTCCTTAAAATAAACAAGGCAAAAAGAGCCGCATGAAATCGGATCAAGATCCGCATGCGGCTCGCGAGCCTCGAGGTTGGCCACCCCTGATCTAGAATATCTGTTTGTTTTTTTTGAATGCATTTATATTACAAGGTTGTAACCCAATCAAAATTTGTATTCTCGGTGACCAGTCAGATAAAGTTCCAACCAACTGCGGAGTTTGAAAAAGAGCCATTAAAAACAGCAAATTGACACAAATTCTGATTCCGACATTGGGTTCAGAATACAAACTGTATTTTCTAACTTTATATTGTCAAGTATATTTATTATACAACCCAAAATAATCGTTCCTATAAAAATGACACATATTGTTCTATATATGTCAAAGAGGATTTTGTACATATTACACATGCATATTCTAATTTCATTAGCTCCCTAGCTTTCTGCATTATCTCTGGGTAGGACCCTTGCAATGTTTAATTGTTGGAATTATACTCTGGCAAGAAATTGGAATTGCTGTATTATCTGGAATGGGAGTCTTGATTTTGATCATGTTTTTACAAACATTCAGCGGACGGGCATTCGGAAAAATCAGGTAACTACTCAATTGGATTTGTACTTCATCAAATTCAACAGATTTGTCCTCTATACGTTTTCATTCTCTTGCATCTTGCATTGCTATTCCTCTTTAAGCCGTGTTCTCGGTGTTGAAATAGCAAAAAAGCAATGTTTTGTACTAACTTCATACTATACGTTCATTTTTTGTTAATTTTCAAATAAATGTCCGCTTTTCCAATACAGCTCTCCAGTTGAATGTTGTGTGACTTTAATATTACCACTACCCTCTAATATAATATACAGAAGCATGACAGCTGTTCTTACGGATGAACGCATACGGCTAATGAACGAAGTAATAAATGGAATGAGAATTATAAAAATGTATGCTTGGGAAAAACCATTTGCAAAACTTGTTTCGAACACTAGGAGGTAATTCATTTAGTTTTGTTAGGGCTATATAAATTTTATGAAGTAACTTTCTGTATAGCAAACGTCATTTTGTCAAAAAAATGAGATTTAACTTTTTAAAACGGGTGTTTTGAATAGTGCAGAGTATGCAGGCGACAGTTATGTTACATATACCACGTATCTAACTTTCTATTCTAGGAACTATGCTATACGATTTTAACGGGTATATTATAGTTCCGTACAAAGTTTGTTCGTTTCCGGGTTCCAAGTTCAAACATAATATTCATCATGCAATTTCTTTTTGTAGAAAGGAAGTTGAGAAAATTCTTTTATCGTCTTCATTGAAAGCTTGTAATTTCTGCTTCTATGCATGCCAAGATAAAATACTGACTTTTGTTACGTTATTGACATATGTCGCATTGGGAGGTACAATAACAGCGTCGAAGGTATGTTTATATTATAAACCAACGTTTTTTTCGCATAAACTAATTTAATCCAAATTTTTATTGAAGATAAGATATTTACCGATTTCACTAATAACTAAATTATAAGAGTTTACTATCAGTATCAATTAATGTAGTATATATCAATAGATGAGACGGAATTTCCACGCCACTCTTTGTTAAAATCGTGCAGATTTTAGTTAAGAAAATATGGCACTCAACAGAGGCGTTACGAATTTATCCCTTCTATTAAAACTTGAAATTTTTTTTGCTTCTGTTTTTTGTTTTGTTTAAAAGTTCTATTACAAGTACATAAAGTTAAATTAATTGAAGAAATTTATTACATTATTACGTTCTATACGCAATGTGAATCGACAATCTCAGGAATAATCGGAGAATAGTTTAACATGGGCTGGAGTCACCAAGTAGTGCCAATACGCAGTATCATGCGGTCACATTTTGAAAGTCTTTCTTGGATTCCCATATTTTGAATTGGAAACTCGGATGGAACTTCTTCAACCCCGCAGTTCTTTATACAATTTTAACCGAGTCTCCAAAAGATAGTCATTCCAAGGATCATGGCCGTTTCGACAAACACTGGATGTTCTGCAATGTTTTTCTGGAAACCAGACAGTTACCATGTGAAAATAACGTTGGTAAAGACGTTTTACGTACGTTCCTGTCCATCAAAACTACACCTGTGAAGGTTTTAGATAAATTTTTGATTGAATGAAACCGTACTTGGACAAATCGATACCTTATACTCTTTCATAAGATATTGCTGTTGGGTCGGTAGTTCCAACGGCTGGTGGTGGTAATTATACCTGATTTAACACTCGCATCAGGTTTGCCAAATGAAATGTTTCCTCGCGTTGCCTATTTTATGCATATTATAGCGAACTTCGTTTGTTTCGGCTGGAATAAACAGCATTTTTCTTACTTTCGTTTCCGCAAACATTTCTTTACTACGTTTCAACAACAGCAGCTGCAAAGTTTCACGCTGTATCTCTGACAACATTGACTTCATCTGTACCAAGTCTCTTTTCTTGTTCCAATTTTATTCACATATATATATATTTGTTTTATAGGGTTTTATGGTTTTGTCCATCAGTTCTGCTCTACGGATTTCAGTTGGCTTTGCATTTCCGCGTGGCTTGACATTGTTGTTCGAATCACTAACTTCCTTCGCAAGAATTGAGGTATGAAATCGTGATATGAAGGTCTTAATACATAATAATCCTGCATGACGGCTGCAACATGATGGCTGAAATAACATCATCTGCATAGTTATAATACAAACTCATAATACGAGTCAGAAATTTTAGTTGTTAGCTAATATTACTAATACATTTGTTTTAATTATTGCTTCTAAATAGTCGGTGTGCTTTGTGATGCTTAATTTGTTTTAATATATATGTTGTTTTGTGCATATTGCTAATTTCTTTTTGCTACCTGACTAACAGTTTACATCCATTTACTATTTGTGTACCCACTGAAAAAGCACTTCACGACCAAAGTTTTTTGGACTTTAGTTATCAAAATGACACCATAATCGAATGAAAACGCACTCGAGATCTTCTCAATGTTATAATGTCATAGCCTACACTGATATTCTGAATTACTTTAAAATACAACCCATCAAAATTTTCAGCATGCATCGCGTTCTACTTCCAGGATATTTTATATTTATATTAAACGTCAAATTTACGCGTCAAACCATTCAGGATATAAAGCGGAGCATAACGAATCACACACATAACTTCTTTCTTTCAACCCAAATAAATGTGTGTTATTCAAAATATACACATTTTTCCACTTTGGATATTTATAGTATATAATAGGACTCCGTATATCTTTGAAACTTTCTAGTACTTTTTTCGCGCAAGCAATTGAATAAATTTCAACATCTAACATATCAATGAAGAGAATACAGGTATATTTACATTGGGTCATACACCAATATCCTCGTAAACGTCAGGCATGCCATTTTATTCATTTTACACGATACATTGTACTAATTCTACATTGCATGCTCATCTGAAACGTGTAATTGCATGTAACCGTCTTTTTTTTTTTTATACAATATTAGATAGAGCACGTTAGGCATATATGTGTAAAGCTAATGGCGTTTAAAACATCGTCTTGACTTAACTCCGGCATATGATCGAAAACTATTTCATACGGAATTTATCATTGAAATTATTTTAGGTAATATCAGTTGCTAAATTGCTATTGTGAGGTATTAATTTTTACTGCACTGGAATATTTCATGATTTGTTTTTGAAATAACCTTAAAACACTTTTGTCAGAAATATTTGCTGATGGACGAATTTTCTAATATTCGAAATAATTTAAAATCAAACTCCAACCAAGAAATCCACGTGGAACTTGAAAACTTCACTGGTAAATGGGAATTGGTAAAGAACACAAATAGAGGATTATAGGCCCGACTAATCTCGCGAAAGCAGTCGATCATGATCCGCCGTATGTATCCTGCTTCTGTCTTACTTTTATAACAGAGTTAACAGATCAATAATTACTGTATATGGTTATAGGGTACCAAGTCCGCGTGTATAAGATGTCTTCCCAGTCAAACAGTTGCTTGATCACATCAAAAATAAACATACAATGGGGGCTTGGAACTTTTATGATTGGAGTTATCACCAGTTGCAGTTTTGCTGCATTTGATAGTATATTATATTAACTGAACTTTTTCAATATGTATGCGACCATAAATCTAGACTTGAACACCGACTCTAACAGGACCGACTGCTAGCGAGGAGAACTTTGGCTTGGATTAGTTAGAGAGACGCTCTAGTAATGTTAAAGCCAAGTTGCGAATGCCTCTTACCCAACGAAATGCGAAAAGAAAGTTGATGGTTTTACTCTACACGCTAAATGTCAACATGAGTTTGGCGAACGTCCCTCGGATTTGGTTTTCTATCGTTTTTGCTTCACTGATCCGTAAGGATTGTTTTCGTATAAATGCAATATATGTTGCAATAAGATATACAAATAGATCATGTATTATTCTTAATTCAAACATGTTTATATCTATTCAAGAATAGAAAGTTTCGCGTTGAATCAAAATAAATACTGTGAAGGATTTAGTTAAACTAGTTGTAAGAATGCAATGCCGTATTGTGAAATTGAAAATAATTTTCAGATGAATAGGATTTGTGAAATATTTTGGGCAATGTTCACTTTGTTGACTCCGTTCGCATAAGCAAAAATAAATTGAATATTGTTATAAAAATTTTTAAATTTAAAAATATTTTTTAGAATAATGATGCTGAAGAGAGATCCGATATCACATTGGATTGTGTAAATGTCCGAGTAGACGCAGGAAAGTTGGTCGCAGTTATTGGACCAGTTGGCGCAGGAAAGGTAACGAAACAAAAAATTATTGCACCCTCCTTACGGAACGAATAGTTGCAGTATACACAAATCGTTGTTTCTTAATTATAATCTTGAATATTCTGCAAAAAAAACTTGAATCGCAAGTCACTAACAGAAAATGTTTGTAAACATGGATTCGACACCACATTTGAAAAACTCAACTCAAAACGGCCAGGTCAGTCGCATAACTGAATTTCTTTCAATAACAGTAAAACATGTGAAAACAAAAAGGTTTCTTTGTCTTCGCTCTTGAACGCAATACTCGGTGAATTGCCTGCGGCTGAAGGGAAAGCTATAGTTCAGGAAATGTTGTTTACTCCAATAAGTTCCTTGGATTTTCTCCGGTACTGTACGAGAAAATATTTTTTTGGCGCGGAATTCGACGAAAGTACGTTACCACGAAGAAGTAATCCACGCATGCTGTCTAAAGAAGGTACGAACTAATATCGCTAAATTATAATAATTTGATGAGAACTTGTCTTCTAGACTAGAGCATATCGTTTTCACACGACTTTTATTTTAAGGCTACATTTTTATCCGTATGTCATTTCAGAGACTTCATTCTATAATATATATAATAATGTTTTGTTTTTCAAAAAAAGTTCAACATGAAAACTGATTTCAGGATCTTGATCTTCTGATTGAAGGAGACATGACACTCATAGGCGAGAGGGGTGTTACATTAAGCGGAGGTCAAAAGGCAAGAGTAAGCTTAGCACGAGCTGCGTACAAAAGAAATGCAGTTATATGCTTATTGGACGATCCACTTAGCGCAGTAGATATCTCTGTGGCAAGTCATATATTCGAACACTGCATTTGTGGAATAATGAAAAAGAAAGTAAGAGTTTTTTGAATAATAATAATATGCAACTAATCATCGCCTCATTTGATAGATTTACAGTATTTCACTCAATTGGGATATTCACACCCACCATGAGCACTATTCCATATATAGTTGATTTCAAACGACCGAATATTGTAACATAGAAGGGATTCTAACAGAGAAATGATTTATAACTATACTGATTACGAGTGGAATAGCTAGGTCTCTCAAATAACCAACGATAAGATAACATATGCCCTTCAAAATTTTATCAATCTCACTCAATGTTCTGAATACGATCCGGATCAATAAATTAATGTTTTTATGCTGAAGTATTCAAATGTTTAATTATTTACTATCACCAACACCTAAACTAATATTATTCTTACTTAGGCACGAATACTCGTTACTCATCAACTACAGCTATTGAAGAGCGTGGATGAGATTCTCATTTTCAAAGAGGTTTTATTTTTTCATATAGTTCATTTAAACACGATATTTTATTATATACTTCGAGTTAGAGAAAATTGTTCCCATTGGATGATGCTTATGACAATGATTCAATAACGGTCATACCTAAAAGTTTTCTGCGATTCTCACTGCCATTTTTGAAAAGTCTTTTAGAGGAGAAGAAATATTGTAATTAATGTTACATAGAAGTATTTAAATACAGTTAAAACAAGTCAATCAATCCGGTTATCTTGTCTAACCTGCATTCATCATTTAGGGAAGAGTATATGGTCGCGGAACTTATGCCGAACTTCAGGATAGTGGAGTTGATTTTGCTGCTTTGCTCAGGAAAAAAGAAGACGACAACGAATCAGTCTTTTGTGGTATTATTTCCTTCGCATAGCTATATTGGATTATGTATCGGCATTAATACAAACTGTTTTGAAGTCAATAAATATTGAAAGATAGTAACTGTTTTCACCACAAATGACGGTATTTTTTTTCTCTTGACTTACGCTATTTTCAGAAAAACGGCAAACCGTTAGAGGATCCCCTCTCAGCTTGAGAGACAATTCAAATGACTCAACACAAACATCTATAGTTCCAGATCTATCCATCGAAGACACAGAGATAGAGGTTAAAATCATCTAATAACTTTTAATATGTAAATTGTTAGATGTAACTTTTAGCAGCACCAGCTAGTAACGTTTTCCTTCTAGTAGCCTATATTCTGCTGACTCAAATAATTTTGCTTTAAAAATTGGTTTGTGGTTCAAGGTTTGTCGACAAAGGAAGTTCATATATGCTCTTTTTTATAGGTTGAGTGCGGTTCTATGAATAAAATAAACTTCTATAGAAAATTTTCAAAATCAAAATATTAAACTCGAATATAGGGACATACAGCAAAGATCATTGCAGAGGAAATGAGAGAACAAGGGAGTATTGGAGGAAAAGTTTATCTCGAATATTTCAGAGTTGCGGCAAATGCATTCTTACTTGTTTTATTTTTCATCATTGTAATAGCAAGTCACGTGCTATACATCATGAATGACTGGTGGTTATCGAAATGGTGAGTGAAAGCATTACTCAGAGGAAATTTTCATTTTAGCTTGGCCAGTTATAGAAAAGCACAAGAGAGTTTTGCGTGACGCGTGTAAATTTCACATGTTAAATATTTTGCTTCTTTTCCAATTCATAGAAAGCTATTTAGCTGCAAAACACTTTTTTCACGGAAACTTTTTCTAATAATAATATTTTAATATATCAACAGGACAACATCATATAAAGACTACCTGTCAAATTTGTCATCAAATAATCCAGATTTTTCTTCTGGATCAGGACAAAATGAACCGTCTGAGGTTTTTAATTCGACTACCTCGTTTACAAGTGTTAACAATAAAAACACGTTTGATTCCAGCTATTACATAAAGATATATGCAGGTAATCTAGATTCTAGAACATCATTGTTATGGGCAAGTAAATATTTTGATTCACGAATTCACTTGATTGACGAATATAGAGAAACAAGAAAAAATTTCAATAGTTTTAAAATAATATTTAAACTGATGCAGCATACATAGCTTACATACTTTATTATTTGTTTTCTAGTTCTATCTTCGATGGTGCTTTTGATTGTGTTGCTTCGTGCAAATTTACATTTTTATATTTGCGTCACCTCCGGCATTCACATGCATAAGAAGATGTTTGAAGCAATCCTACGAGCCCCGATCAGATTTTTCGATACCAATCCAGCAGGTGGACCGGCATTATTTTCATATCCTTTTCGCGATTATATTGAATAGAATTGATTCTTCATTAAATTGTTAGTTAAATCTAATATGGGCGGTATATCACATTATTCTTCAATTTATTAAAGCTCATTTTATTGCTCATTTAGGAAGAATCCTAAACAGATTTTCCAAAGACATGGGACAGATAGACGAGTTTCTGCCAATCGCATTCATTGACTTTCTGTGGGTGAGAAGAAATTGTTTCATTTCAAATCGAGTTTCCGTACAATAGTCTTATTTGTTTTCAAAGTGCTCAGCTCTGTAATAAACTGACTGTGAACGATAACAACTTTAATTGACATATCCCCAATGCTCAAAAAATTTTGCATCGGCAATTGTTCGTACATACTTGACTGAACTGATTAAATTTCTACATGGGAAATAAGTCTTGGAAAATGAGTTTTCTCTTTGGCATATTCGTGGATACAATACTGACATCATATGCTGTAATTATAGAAGATAGTGGTTACTCTGTATAACAGAGGAGCATCAAATGATTAATCACAAGAAGGAAACGTCGGGTCATGATCTGGATGTTCATGATTTTCACAATTGTGAACTTCTGTTGCTTTATTTTGTCTTTTATTGATTTACAGATTCTTGGCGTGATCGTCAGTGTTGTAATCCTAACATCTGCCGTCAACTATTTTGTCATCATTGTAATTATTCCATTGGTCATTTATTTTCTATGGCTAAGAATATATTACTTGCGTACTTCAAGAGATATAAAAAGACTAGAAGGAACTTGTAAGGAAGCATTGAATCTTTTTTAAACTATTACCAAAATTGAAAAAACCAAACGTACACACCGTGATAGACAAATTACTTTCTGGGATACAGGCAGACATTGTTGAAATGTCTCAATTGTCCATTTGTGTTATATATTGTGTCCTTGCAATTCTTATCCAAAAGTAATTCTCATACTGAATTTTTGAAACGAAGACATGGAAATCTACAAATTGTATTATTCAATATTTTTACTAAAATAGTACAATCAGCAGTAGCATTTTTATTTGTTTTATTTGTTTGTTACATGTAATTTTATTTTACCTAGGCAGGAGTCCAGTCTTCAGCTTGCTATCATCAACTTTACAAGGTTTACTCACTATTCGTGCTTTCGGTGTTCAACAACAGTTTGAAGATAAATTTCACGAATATCAAGATTTACACAGTGGTATTTTTCTATATTATATTGGTATTTAATATTACCGACATGTTATTCGATTATTTTTGGGGGTGTGGAAAATGTTATTTTACATAATTAAAATTGGACCTATATATGCCATGGTATAGGTGAAGTGAATTATTAGAATAATTGTTTATAAACTTTGGATAAACTTTTTGTAATTTTTGTAAACTCTAGTACCTCCGATCATAAATTGTTATATAATTAGCTCTAAAACAGTGACAAAACATTTAAGAGAATAAATTTATATATAATTTGATAAGTTGACCGAAAATTTAAGATGAAAATCAGTTTTTTTTTTCAGTTCAGTTTTATTTTTTATGTAAATAATAAAATGATGAGAAATGATCGTGCTGAACTCGAATGTTTTTTTTTAAATTCGGTATTCCAAGTTTGGTATACCTTTCCCGTGTTTCATGAATTAAAGCTTCGAGACTCCACTCAACTGATTTTCCCATTTTACTGGCAGTGCATTACATGAGTCAATGTATCTTGTCGTTTTCGTCATAACGTAGTGTCAATTAAATTTATCATTTCTTCATTCAGCGTCATGGTTTCTGTTTCTTGTTGGAACAAGATGGTTTGGATTACGACTCGATTTGATAACTGCTACGTTCATATCAGCCGTTACATTTTTCTCCGTAATTTGCGCTTCATTATTGAATCTTAATGCGGGTGAAATTGGATTAGTCTTAACCTACACGGCATCATTAATCAGTATATTCCAATGGGGAGTTCGCCAAAGTGCAGAAGTAGAAAATTTAGTAAGTAGAAACCGGTATTCCTAAAAGTAAATAAAAATTTCTTTTTATTACACATTTCATATTCTTTCTTGATCTTTCCATTTTTCTGTTTGACAAGTTCAAGTATGGTTTAGTTTGTCTGCTAGAATCAAGTTAAATCTAACAGTAACAGTTAGATATATAGAATATTGTGAATGCGTTTGAAGTTGAGTTTTCTCAAAGTTTCATCTGCGCAGCATTCTCGAATTATATCTATTAAACGCATTCAATATAATCTATATTTTACAATTGAAAGCAAATTGCTAACAAAAGCGATACACATAGTTATAAACATTAGAGGAATACTTTTATACGTTTTTTCAACCAATATCAAATTTACTTTAAATTATCATTTATTGGAAACGAATTTGACATAAAGATCGTTTTGCTAAATTCTAGATGTTGTTGGTCCAATAAAATTTCAGTAGGTAAAGATGGAAGAAGTTGCTAGAATGCTATGACTTCTATGTTGTTTTTAAATCCTACGGGAGTCCTAAAGGAGACAATATTTCACTACGAATTTTCCTGTTTTATTCTATTCATGTGAATACTTTATTCGACCACGCTTGTCCACTGATCATTTAACCAACTCCATGCTCAGTTGAGGCATTACCGGTACCGATACAAAATCTTCCTGCTCATATATTTGAGCATTGCTCTCTCGTTGCAATTGCCACAGCGGCATACTCGCCATGACAAATTGATATATGCGGTAATGATGATCAATTTATGCTACTTTGCATTCCCTCATTTGCTCTCAGAATTAATCTTTATTTAAATGTCTTGCAGATGACATCAGTAGAAAGAGTTCAGCAATATTATCGCCTACCGCCAGAAGCCGCGTTAGAGAATCCAGCTAAAAAGCCACCAAACAGCTGGCCAGAATGTGGCGCTATCAAGTTTGAAAACGTCTCATTTTCTTATTATGATGGTGGACCCAATGTGTTAAGAAGCATTGATTTCGTAATACAACCAAAAGAAAAGGTATGCTGTCTTTAAAACAAGTTATCTAACGAAAATATTGATAGGATTCACGCAATGTTTATTCAGTGATTTTATTAGTTGTATTTGATTTTCTATCGTTACCTAAGGTTGATAAACTGTCGACCATGGAATTCTTCATAAAGAAAAGGTATTTAGTACTTCATCTTTGCCTATTTGTGCAACCTTGCTTAAAGTAACGTTATATCAATTCCAATCATTTTCTGTAATGTAAATTTTGATACTCTTGTTTTTGTTTTTATAAGGTTGTTTGAGCCCCTGTGCGTTTGATGTATGGAATATAGTTGGAAAATATTTTGTTTGGCGCATAAAACAGTGAAGATATAGGAATAAAACTCCCCACAATTAATTCAATGAACATAAAAGAAACAGAATTACCTATGTTCAATTCGTTCTACTTCAAATATGTCGTGTAGATTGAATGTTAAAAATATAAAATTAAGGAATCAACAAGTTCTACACATTTATCTCAGATCGGAATTGTTGGACGAACTGGTGCTGGTAAAAGTTCTCTTATATCAGCACTTTTCAGATTGTCGGAACTAACAAGTGGTGAAATATTCATAGATGGAATTCCCATATCATCTTTAGGACTTCAAGATCTACGCAAAGCATTATCCATAATTCCACAGGTCTAAATTACTTTATTATCATAGAAAATTCTGTTTAAAGTCTATCATCGTGGAAGTTTGAAATTCAATTCAACTCACACGCACAAATGCTATAGAAATTATCGGAATATGAACTTGAGACCTTGGCAGGAATTATTGACTGGCGATAAATTTAAAGCAGTTTAAGTCTTATGACATTTACTGAGTGATTGTTTCATTTTACAGGATCCGATGCTTTTTACTGGAACAGTGAGAAGAAACATTGATCCTTTCAACAATTATTTGGATGAAGATTTATGGGACGCATTGGAGCAGGTTTCACTGAAATATACAATTCACAATAACCAAATGTATTTTTTTTTTTGAATTTGATGTCAATAGGTAAACGTAAAAAAACTCATTTTTGAGGGCATATGCTTTTCAAAACAGATTTCTCGAAAATAAAAAAGCAAAAAAATTGTATAATTAATTTGTATATCAGCAGTCAGCACTGTTGGAATAAACCCAATTAGTTATAATCGACCTATCATCGTAGAACTGCTGATATCTCTTGTTGTGACTGGTAAATGCCAGAACGACAGCAGCCGAGGACAAACTTTTCAGAAAGTGTAAAGATGAAGTTTGGTGAGAACGTATTGTGCTGGTCGGCCAGCGTTATTAGGTTGAGAATATCAAGTGAGTGTTTGTTTCATTTGATTTCGTTCAAAAATAGACATCAACAGCAAGGAAGTGCACATATAGAATTTTGCGAAATCATCGGATTATCAGATAACGATCTTTTTCGCTTTTCATATCAGGTTCAGTTGAAAGAATTGGTGGAATCGTTTCCTTTGAAACTGAACACAGAACTTGCTGAATCGGGATCTAATCTCAGTGTTGGACAAAGACAACTTGTTTGCCTTGCTCGAGCAGTTTTGAGGAAAAGTAAAATTCTTGTGATTGATGAAGCTACTGCAAATGTCGATATCAGGTATATAGGGTGTCAAATTCCCAGAAATGCAATTATGCATTTAGATTCTGTTGATTTTTGATACTGATAAAAATTGAATGGAAGCTCAGAAAAGTAAAATAACTGCAAATTTTAATTGAATATATATATATTGACACCACCGTGGCATATCGAATGAAATTAACGATGAAAATATGTTTGCTTGTTATTGCAACTGTTAAGCATTAAAATTAGACTCTTTAACCATGCGAAATCTTTTTATTTCGCGCAGTCCAAAAGTGGTTCTCAAACTTTTTGCACCTCTGACTCTTTTAACAAACCTATAGATTTACCGCAAATGTAATTAATGGTACTCATTAATTGAAAAACGAAATTAGCAAATTACTTTATTATATTTAATATTGTGACGGATATTATTTATTGGCAACTATAGTTGTACAATGTCTGGTGCAGTAGTAGATAATCCACAAACAATATCATATACAGCGTCATACCAGATTCGAACTTTACTTTTGATTTTTGTTTTTTTTAGTTTCGATTTATTTACCCCTAAAACATCAAGTTAAGAACCGCTCACTCTACATATGTTCGAAATATGTGAAATTAGAAAATGAAAATCTTTATTGGATATGTACAATTTTATTCGACGTCACGGAAATAAGAAAAATACTGCACAACCCACTAAATATGCCTTACTTTATATTTAAATAGTTAAACCTTCTATTTAATTGTCCGATCACAGTGTACCAGTATTATAAATTTGAAAGTTGTAATTCTGCGATTACCTCATAATTTTGCAAGAAATATGCCTTTAAATATAATGGTGCAAAGTTCTGAATAGTTATGACAGAAAAATATTTTATATTGAATCAAAAAATTTAGTAATATCTCATAACTAGAACTGGGAATTTCAACCAACATCTCTTGAGCATTAAGCAGAAATAATTGGCGAATTGGCAATAGGCCTACTTCCCAATAATCTTTCCTATGTGATTTAGAGATATTCATAAAAAAGATTTCATATAAACGATGTAAACCAAAATTGTAGCAAATTAATTTCTACCATTGTTGAATGTACACTGAAAAGGGAGTACTATCTGTCATGACCATAATAATGGGTAAAGTTAATTTTCACCAAATTATTTCGGTTAACGAACTTACCGATTAAATATTCCCAGCGCTATTCATATTGCATTAACAAGTTGTTGTTTTTTCATCTTTACGCGCAATAATCACAAATCCATTCGTTGAAAACAAAAGACACGACTCCCTAGTTATTCTTAATTTGCTTTATGAGTCTATGTTTTATATTTTTAGAACAGATCGTCTGATTCAAAAGACGATAAGACGAAAGTTCAAGCAATGCACTGTTATAACCATTGCTCACCGAATAAATACAATAATAGATTCAGACAAGATTCTGGTAATTTTTTTTTATTTGACGAAAAGTCAGTCGGCGATTATAATAGTTTACTTGCTATACATATTTATTTCAACTATGTGTGTCAGTTTTATGAACTCATTTGTTGATAAAATTTAATTTTCTATCAATAGGTGCTAGAGGAAGGACAAGTCAAGGAGTTTGACAAACCAAATGTTCTTTTGCACAAAAGGGATGGCCTGTTTGCTAGCATAGTGAAAAGTGCTGGACTATCTGCAGCAGAACCAAATTGCGAATAGAGTCAGGAAAAAGTGTCATGAATCGATGCATTTATTTATTCAGGCTTTCAATTCATTCTCTGTGAACATAAATTCTTGCTATGATATATATACCTGACGTGATATGCTCATGCAATTACATATCTGAAACAGATCGTACTAGCATCTCTAATTAAACACTTTAGGACGTTTAACTAAATTTTTTGATAACAGTCTCTGTCACAGTATATATACCAAAGAAACTTTTCTATTATTAATATGGAAATCCCAGAGTAAGAAAAAAATTGATGTAAAAATTTGCTTTGTGAGGTTAATTTTAAAAAACACGAATTTTTTCATGGATGGGTATTTAAAAACAACTTTTAACAGCTGCTTTTTGGGGTTAAATTTTAATACTGAAATGAATGATGATATTGTAATAAAATTCCCTTTTTGCGTGAAGAAATATCGGTCTCATTTTTGATTAATTGACTATAAGACAATGTCATTCGATTAAAAGGACTGCGTGCGTTATTTTGGGCTTTTATTGCTTCTCGTGGTCTAATGCCAGATAAACTGAACAATGCCGGTATTTGGTTCAAAGGCCCCCACAATTTATATGGGGAAGTGAAGATGCATGGACCATGGTTAATGATTGTCATTCATAAAGTCCCATGCGACCCACAACTTGTTCCGGAGATGAAAGTTCATTATACTGAACCTATTGAAGATCTCCCAGATTATTCTCCATTACATGAACTGTTATTGCGTTACTTATCATTCGAAAAGTGTGGTATACTGTGTTATGGCTCCCATTATTTCATGCATGAGTGACCTTGGTTTCTCTCTCGCCCTTCTTCTTTTGTTGACGCTTCAGTCGATGACTGCGTGTTTCTGTAATACATTTTGAATATCTACAAACTTCGTCTATTCTTCGAGTTCACGACACAACATATAATGGCGATGAGGATGCTTAAAGAATTCTAATGCCGGTGGAATAATTTCATATGCAAAGTTAACCTTACATTACGTGAAAAGCGACGGTAAATACTTCGGACTTTTTGCTGATTGTCACTGCCGGCTTGATACTAAAAGCTAGCCTACACACCGTTTTGCTGTTTCTACATTGCTCCAATTTCTGCTACCTTACTTTTTTACTTACGGAGAAATGAGTTCTCACGGATTTCCACGACCTGATATGTTTTTGGCCAATCCTGGAAAAAACCCCAGTTGCATGGAAGCAATGGATTGCGTTGTTTCAAAACTACATGGTTGCTACTGACCATACTGAATTGCTTGCTGCTAGAAAAAAGGCTATACAACTACACTGCCTAGGTGCTGAAGGCCAAAGATTATTTTACACAATTACAGAAGATGCAGTTGTGTTCGATGAAAATGATGATGTATACTTCAAAGCTGTTAAAATGCTTGAAGAATATTTCCAACCTGCTGTAAGTGTTATTGCTGAGAGATATCGTTTCCGACAACGTTCTCAATTACCTGGTGAATCCATTGGTGAAAATCTTGCTGCATTACGTGAGTTAATAATTGATTGTAATTTTCGTGATCCCTATGAAATGATTCGTGACCAAATCGTGGAAAAAACGAGTGTGAATAAAATACAAGAAAAATTGCTAATGAAATCTACACTTACACTTACAAAAATTTTGGAGATTGCTCGTCAAGTTGAAAAAGCGTTACGTGATTTCAGTTCACTTGCTGTACATACAAATACAGTAAATACAATGAAGTCAAAGCGTACTAACTTCAAATACAAAGAACGTCCTACTACGAATAAGATGAAAACACGATCCTGCTACAGATGTGGTTCCAAAGATCATCTTCCTAATAATGAGAATTGCAAAGCCAAAAATGCGAAATGTCGCAGATGCAACAAAGTTGGACATTTTGAAAATGTTTGCAAAAGTAACCATCACTTCTAATAATTTTCTAGTCTTAGATAATGCTATTCATGTTGAATTGTGTATTAATTCTACAGTACTATCTTTTCTTGTTTACTGGTAGTCCAGTTACATTGCTTCCTTTATCGCAAATATTTTTCTAATCTGAAATTGATGAAACCTAGAGTTACTCTTACTTCCCACAAAATTAACTTGATTTTTCATGCTAATCTTTCTTATAATGGTAAATTATGCAATACTAATATACATGTAGTGAAAGAAGGTCTTTCATTGCTGGCGTATATTATATTTACATGCTTTACATATGAAACTTGATGGTACAAGTATGTCTGTAATGTATACTGGTACAAATGCTTCCTACAAATTGCCAAATAGCTTAGGGCCTGGATTTGCTAAATATGCTGAATGTTTTAAACCTATTGCTGGCACTATTAAAGGGTTTGTGCATAAAGTAAAAATGAAAAAAGATGCCAAAGTCAACAGAAGTTGAGACGATTACCTTTTTCTATTCGTGATGCTGTTACTGCTGAATTGAAACAGCTAGAAAATGCTAAAATTGAAAAGATTAATTCCTCTGAATATATTTCACCACTAGTCGTAGTTCGAAAGAAGACTGGTAAAATTCGTTTGTGCTTGGATTTGAGGAAAGTTAATAAAATGATTGTGGTTGATAAATTTCCTTTGCCTACAGTAGATGAAATATTTAGTGAAATGCATGGTGCCAAATATTTTTCGAAATTAGATCTTGCTTCTGCTTATCATCAATTAGCTTTAGCTGAGGAAAGTAGAGATTTAACTGCTTTTGTTACACATGATGGTTTATTTCGTTTTCGTTGTGCTTGTTTTGGTTTAGCCTCTGTTCCTAGTGATTTTCAAAAATGATGGGTTCTGTTCTTGAAGGTTTAAAAGATGTTAAATGTATACTTGATGATATTGTAATTTGGGGTCGTGCCAAACAAGAACATGATGCTAATTTACATAAAATTTTTGAACGACTTTTGAAGCTTGGTTTCAAATTGAATGATAAATGTGAGTTTAATGTGGACAAAATTGAATTTCTTGGCATGTTCTTACTGCTCAGGGGTTTAATGCCACACCCTAAATTGTCCAATGCTATACTAGATGCTCCCTCCCCTCATGATGCTACTTCTTTACGTTCCTTTCTTGGTTTGATTGGATACTATTCTAAATTTTGTCATGATTTTGCTACTATTGTTGAACCAATGAGACGTTTTTTACGCAAAAGATGTTACTTTTTGCTGGGATACTGATGCTCAAGAAAGTTTTATTACTGCTAAAAAGTGTATTTCTGACCATATTACGCTTGCTTTTTATGATCCTAATTTGCCTACTTGATGCTTCTGGCTATGGTTTGGGTGCTATTTTGAGTCAAATTGATGCAAATAAGACTGAACGTGTTATAACATGTGCATCTAGAACACTTACTGAAAATGAAAAAAAAGTACTCCGTTGGTGAACGCGAGGCACTTGCTTGTGTATGGGCATGTGAAAAATTCCATAATTACATCCGGGGTAGAAAATTTGAGCTGCAGACTGATCTGATCATCAAGCTCTTACTACTTTGCTTACATCCCAAGGAAATACTCGACAATCTATGAGAATTGCTCGATGGAATGCTCGTTTGCTACATTATGATTATACAGTGAAATACAAATCTGGTTCCGAAAATAAATTTGCTGATGCTCTATCCAGATTACCTTTGAATTCTACTGAAAATGCTGATTGCGAAGATGATGCTGTGTGCAAGTTTCTGAATACTACGGATACTGATTTATCCATTTCATTACTTGAACTACAAGAAGCTACACGCAATGATGCTATGCTCTCTAAAATGAAATGTTACATTGGTAATGGATGGCCTTACAAAAAAGATGTTGATTGTGCTTTACAGACATTTTATCATGTACGTGATGAGCTGACAATTTACAAAGACTTGATAATCCGAGTTGAAAGAATCATTGTTCCTAATGCTCTTACTACACATCAAGGAATTGTTAGTACTAAACAAAGATTACGAGATCTATACTGGTGGAAAGGTATGGATAAACAAGTTGAAGACTTGATTCGTCATTGCTCTGTCTGCAATACTCATGATAAATCTGCTAAACCTGTATTTGCTCCATTGAAATCTGTTCCTTTGCCTAAACAACCTTGGCAAAAGCTTGGTATTGACATTGTTGGTCCTAATGAAAGTACTCCTGCTGAATGTCGTTTTGCTATTACATTGATTGATTACTACAGCAAATGGTCTGAAGTTATGTTTACTTCGAAAGTTGATATACCTACTATGATAAAATTCTTGAAAACTGTTTTTTTGCAAAGAAGGTTAGTGCAATGAAATTGTCAGTGACAATGGTGTACAATTTCGATCACAAATGTTTGAAGAATTTTTACGTCCAAGAAATATTAAACTTAGTTACTATTCACTTTACTATCCCCAAGGATCTGGTGAAATTGAACGTTGGAATGCTGTTTACGGAAATGCTGTAAAAACTGCTCTACTAATGTACAGCCGTTGAAAGATGCTATTCAACTATTTCTTTGTCTATATAGATGCACTAAACATGCTACTACTGGACATTCTCCTTCTGTTCTGCTACACAATAGACAAATGAGAACTGGTCTTGATATTCCTGAAATTCATAATATGATGAAAGACTGGTCAAATGAAAAAGTGTATGATCAAGTTATGAAGAAACAAAATGCAAGTAAAGAATATACCGATGAGAAACGTGGTGCTAAACAACTTGATTTGAATATTGGTGACTATGTGAGAATTAAAAAACCTGGTCATGTTGCAAAAGGTCAGATTAAGTTTGGAGAACTTGTACAAATTACTGGTGTACATGGTCCTGCTACATATTCTGCAAGTGATGGTCGTAGATGGAATCAATCCAAAATTTCCCCATGTGCTGATTCTAACCCTGTACAAAATGATACTTTATCTCATTCTAATGGTGCTTTACCTGAATCTAATGATGCTTTACCTGATTCTAATGATACTGTGATATCTTCTGTTGATAATACTGCTAATGATAATTCTGACACTGTCAATTCTGAATTGCCTCGTAGAAGTTCTGGAATGCGTGTCCCTCCAAAATGGCATAGAGATTATCAAATGTGATTTATGCATGCTTATATTGCTTTTGTACTTTGCTACTGTACATATTTTTTTTACAAAGGGGGAAATGTGGTATACTGTGTTATGGCTCCCATTATTCCATGCATGAGTGACCTTGAGACCATTATGACCATGCATGAGTGACCATTAGAGAGCTGTTGCATGGCTACTACGTTTTCGTACATATGCCACTTGGAAATTCTTACATTCAGGATATTCCCAAACTTTGGAATATTTGTCTGTGGAGGAATTAGATTGCGCGACCAAAAAAATTATGAAAACAGTACAACAATCATCTCAGGGGAGCTCGAATATCTTCAAGATAATACAAGTGCAGAGGAGGCACTATCAAATCTACAGAAAAAGAAGAAACTCAAAACACAATTATCGAAAACACTTCCTAAGTGCAACCCTTTTGCACAACATGGAATCATGCGTGTAGGTGGACGATTTTGCAACTCACGTTTACCCGTTGATCAGAAGCATCCGATTATCTTCCACCATACCATCATGTTACAAAACTGATTATTACCACACATCGTGAAATGACTGGACATTCTGGTACGTTACACGTGTCTCACAATAAATTCTGTTACGTAAAGAATATGATCGTCAAAACAGTTGTTTTGACTAATTCAGTGAAGCGTCACGGGCCGTAGGTTGCCGACCCCTGCGCTGAGTCATATGGTAGACTATGTCAATTCCGGCAAAAATCCATGAAAAAACGCTCTAATCCGCATTCGAATGCAGTTTGAGAAACGACTGAGATACCGACATTTTTGAGGTATCATATCATCTCCAAAGAGCAATTATACTACAGCGAAAGATTAATGCTGCCAGTGCCTTTGTGAAACAACAATGACTATTTCCACGCAGCATATTGGTATCTAAGGTTACACCACAAAGATCATTTTTTATGACCATGCACAAAATTAGTTTCTTTATTGTGAGTTCTAATTGCGCTCCTAATTTCAGCCGTTGAATGGGGGTTTAAAGGGAGCTTGTACAATAGCTTCCGGGGTTTGGCAGACTCGCAAATGTTAAGAACCACTGCTCAGTGTTAAATGCATACTTGTTCATCACCTAAAAATTGTGTTGTTCTGCAATTATCTTTTACGTCATTGCATCTTGTATTTAGCAATTTGGTGGGGTTTCGATTTTGGCAGAAAATTACGTCAGTAGACACAGTAAATTAGGCCGAAAAGAAAAATATTTTTTTTCTACCCATCCACTGAAGCAAGAGTATTCATGCTTTAGATTTGATAGCGAAGCGGAGTGCATTACTTGTGGCTACAGTTGCTCGTTGCCAAGACAAGAATGCATTATGGACCTTTCCCTGACCTTTGACCACCGAAAAATTCTTTCTATACTTTACCATTGCAAAATTTTCGGGACTATTTTGGGAGTAATTTTGCAAGTTGGCGCCTGTAAAATGGAGTACGTGCTTCAAACCATAACTTTATTCATCGCGTACAACAATATGTTTTTTAAAAGTACCGGTAAATAATTTTAGCCTAGCCCTAGTCTATCACAGCTATTTCTACACTAATTTTTTATCATTGCAATTAAATTAAAACTCCTAGGAAGACAGAATGATCATTGAATTATCTGATTTATATTTAAGTTTCCGAAACACAACAGAAAACTAACGAATAGAGTTCAAAAACGCAAGAACGAGGTAATGTTTACGACCACGCTTGGAAATCTGTCTGAGCAACGACACTTTTTGCATCTTGCTTATTGGCCAATGTCACGAAGTAAACAAGGAAGACGATGCTCGGGGAAAGGTCCATATTGCCGTCACATCGTCTATCGTCACTTAGATTTTTAATTGTGGAGAATTTAGTACAAACATAATGTATATATCTCAGGCACGGTGTAATATTGTTCCACCAAACGATGTGTCCTCCTTTTAGGGTTTGGATATATGGTAACCCTAAATTATATATATAACGTCGTCTATGACTCCAAAAGCGAAAGTGAGACTTACTTACATCGCTTTCCACTTCACTTGTAGTCAGTAAGATTGGATGCATTTACGTTATACCTCTGCTGTTAGCAAGAGCGGTTGCAACGATCGTTAACAGGTGCAGTTGCCACGTATTCAATGTCTTATGTATAAGTATATATTCATATCATACTGTGGAACCCATGATCAAACAAAAAACTAAAAGTAGTAGCTCTGCTTTACTATCATTCGTTTTGCTATGAGCATTCAAAATAAACTTCAAATGCCACACTCAATTTTTAGAATATCATGTATTTAATTAGCAGTGAAAACTAAAAAAGCAATATCAAAAGTGTCAGCCAACCTAAAAAATAGTAACATCACATTGAGATTGATTTTGGAAATTAAATTACATTTTTGTAAAATAATTTCAATAATGGCAAATTGTGTATTGAATGTGGATTGTAACTATGTATTTTAATGTTATTTAACCTCTTCATATTAATAGTATGTTGAATTCAATGAAATAGGTCATTCTAGTTATTTCCCTGATTATGATTTATCGAGACAGCTACAAGCCTCAGTTTAGTGTGCATAGCGTTCGTTGTATCGACGAATTGGATGACGTGTGTTTCCGGTCTTCATTCGGGAGTTGAAAAAATAGTGTATATTTCAATATATCTGTTATTTGGATTCAATTCGATTGTGCATCTTTACAATATACAAACATTTGGCACCACAATACATTTTGTGCCTATTGACTCTTTAGAAGTTCAGAGCGGAGTTACACTCGGTTAATTAACGTGTGTCCAATAACAAGGGAGTGCGAATGCGCAGATAAGGACATCAATCTCCTGGCCTATAATACACTATCAAAACAATTTCTGAAAGATGTCAACAAATCACACGTGATTATTTGCCAATATCCCAACTGATTCTTCAGACAAACCAATACTTTTCACCATTTTAGTAAAATGACTGTTTTCTTGGCACAAAAGAGCACGGGGTTCGTCATATTCTTTCACCTGTCCCTCGTCAAGTACCTGTAAAAATATTGTCACAAATTGTCACTTTTTATCAATATCAATAATTTTTTGTGATACTTTTGCATGTTTATAACGACAAAAACTTACCAAGATTTTGTCGGAATCTATAATTGTATTTATTCTATGTGCAATTGTTACCACCGTGCATTGCTCGAATTTCTCTCGGATTGTAGTTTGTATTAGTTGATCAGTTCTGAAAGCAGTAGGTTAATAAAATAGGAAAATCAGACAACGAACTGTTGAACATAAAATCGCATACGTAGCGGACGTACATTGGGATGCTTTTATTGACCAATTGCGACTTATTTTATATACCCACAGGAAGTGTAAAAATACACTATTTGTTAGGACCCTCTTGCACTCAATCATAAAATAAAATTTTCAATATTGCAGAAAATGTTGAAATACCATTTAATAGTAAGTTATTTCTTTCAAGTTGAATGGTGAATGGCTCAATTTGATGTCATCAAAATAAGTATCACCATGTTTATTTATTTTTTGTATTTGAGGTATAATTCAAATATCTTTGATATATATTCACTACTGCTAAGTGTTTAAACATGATATATATGTTAGTTGCACTCGCTTTGCATAAATTTAAATTATACCTGATATCAACATTTGCAGTTGCTTCATCAATCAAAAGAATTTTACTTTTTTTTAAAACTGCTCGACCGAGACAAACAAGTTGTCTTTGTCCAACGCTGAGATTAGAACCTGATTCACCGAGTTCTGTGTCGAGTTTCATTGGTAAGGAGCTGACTAATTCTTTCAACTGAACCTATTGAAATATGATTGCCTAATGTCGTTTGTGCAAATTTCGAATGTCACCATACTTCCCGATCTAGAACAATGATCACTTTCCATTTCAAATTTTGGTCAGAAATAAAACGTTTAGATGAACTGGTGTATTTACCACTACTTGTAAGTCTACACAAAGTTGTTCTTTTTTTAATATTTAATTTTTTTCACCTTTCATACTTACTTCAAGCTTAATATATGTATTGCGCTCGTTAATTAAGTTTTTTTTAAATGGAATGGTTCGAATAGACATCATTCATAACATCTATTATTACCAATCAACAATGTAAAACCTGCTCCAATGCGTTCCATAAATCTTCATCCAAATATTGGTTAAAAGGATCAATGTTTCTCCGCATTGTTCCGGTAAAAAGTATCGGATCCTGTAAGTTTTCAAAGGAGGTTTATATAGTCAGATGCCGTTAATAACTTGACGCACTATATAAATTTATTTATATGCCTCTTCCACATGCCTTATCTTTAATTAAATAATTTGCGACACAAATTTGCGACTCCGAATTTTCATGTACAAACCAATATTGGAACTTGAAGAGAAGATGACATGTAGTAATAGTAAATACCTGGGGAATTATAGATAATGCTTTCCGTAGATCTTGAAGTCCCAAAGGTGTTATGGGAACTCCATCAATATATATTTCACCATTTGTTAATTCCGCCAGTCTGAAAAGTGCTGATATAAGAGAGCTTTTACCTGCACCAGTTCGGCCGACGACTCCTATCTAGACAAAAATGTTTCAAAATATACTCCATGATAAATTTGATAAATATTCAGATATTTTAAAATAATTCAAACCGTTTTAGTAGTATGTATTTAGTTCAGGACGTGATACTTTTTTACGAAAATTTTTTAACTTCGTTGTATACTAGAAATCATTCCTGTAATGCCAAATTTGGCTTCAATGGGATTTCACTTGAAACTAACTGACCTTTTCTTTGGGCCGTATTTCAAAATCAACGTTTCTTAGCACATCTGGTCCACCATTGTAATACGAGAAAGAAACGTTTTCAAACTTGATAGATCCATGTTTGGGCCAACTTTCCGGCGGCTTTTTATCTGGATTTTCTTCTACTGGTTCTGGAGGTATGCGGTAATATTGCTGTACTCTTTCTACCGATGTCATCTACGTGAAATTGAATTTTTTTTAATATGAGATGAAGGACAAAAGTGTTGGAAAAGTCATAGTCGTTTAATAATTTTCCTGCAATATATAGTTTACTCAGGATTTAAAGGACAATCAATTGATACATTGAAAATAATTATTCTTACCAAGTTTTCTACTTCAGCACTTTGACGAACTCCCCATTGAAATATATTGACCAACGACGTTGTATAAGTTAAAATCAATCCAATTTCACCCGGATTAAGATTCAGAAACGAAGCACCAATGACGGAGAAGAATGTAACAGTTGATACAAAAGTGGCAGATATCAAATCGAGTCGCAACCCAAACCATCTTGAACCAACAAGAAACAAAAACCAGGAAGCTAAAATGAGAAATGTATACTGACAAACTATAACAACAGAAATGCAATCAAGCAAAAATGGGCTCAGCGTGTTGAATCATTGTATCAGTTCAAGAGAATTTGTGGGCAAAATTTGGGATAATGTCAACATAATTTGATTTGGTAAACTTTGATTGTCTTGTAACATTATAAATGCAGTCGTATCTCAAGCGAGATGTAATAGGCTAACAATATATATATATATATATATATATATATATATGTAGCCTACATATTTATGTATGTATTTTGAAATAAAAATACCACTGTGTAGATCTTGAAATTCGTGAAATTTGTTTTCGAATTCGCTTTGAACGCCGAAAGCACGGACAGTAGGCAAACCTTCCAATGTTGAAGATAGTAGACTGAAGACTGGGCTCCTATCTAAAACATTGAATTTGATAGTAAATAGAGACAGATAGTTTACAACATTGAAATTATAAAATGCACAAATTATAGGACAACTTCACCAAAATCAAGGGACATAAATGCCGCGTATCGGTAACGGCACGGTAGAGAAACGAGTTAAAAATCAATCAACAAGAAATAGGAGGCCGATCAATACCGAATAAAAAGTGTTCCCCTTTATTTAAAATTTGATCAAACAGTAAAATTTTTGATGAAATATCGGTATAATAGGATATTTGACAAAATGAAAGTCATAGTATTCTAGACATTTTGCTATTGTTAAGTAATGAAAATATGAGGGCTGATTGGTCATTTAGTTGTGGAGAAAATACCATTCTCAACAACAGGAATTTAACAAAACGATCCATATGTATACTTCTAGTCCGAATATGCAGACGCGAGTGTGTGAGTGATTTCGAAATGTTCTGTCTTTCACTTTAACTGCATTTTATCGTATTGTTTGTCACAATGTAAATCTTATAAATACATTGATAAAAAATTATTGAGAAATAAATCTATATCATGATACTTGTCTTACATGTTCCTTCTAATCTTTTTATATCTCTTGACGTACGTAGGTAGTAACTCCTCAACCACAGGAAATATATGATTAGTGGGATAACAATAACGATAACTAAATAGTTGATCACTAATGTTAGAATCACGACACCGATGATTAGTCCGAAAATCTGTGAATATAAGAATAATTCAAAATTAACGACATTAATATAAAATTCGGGAACAATAATGCTGTTATTGAGATAAACTTGTCTTTAAGTTTCTGACTTGTGACTTTAATTCGTAGGAACAAACGGAACTGGTCTGGTATTTGATTGAAAGTAATTTACTGTTGCAGTGACATAAAAAAAAATTCGATTCGATTAAAACCTAAAATCAAACCAGTCAACTAAACATAATAAATTAGATTTTTCTAACCAAACGCCATAACCGCTATTATAATATATTAGTCACCCAGAGAAAGTCCATAAATGCGATTGGAAGAAGCTCATCTATCTGTCCCATGTCTTTGGAAAATCTGTTTAGAATTCGCCCTGTTATTGTTTGGAACATAATAAACTTTATTCAAAATGCAATAAATATATGTACTGTCTCATATTTCTTATTTAGTCTTATGTAGTGAGGTTAACATTTGTTCTGCACAATATGCATTCAATGCCAAGTGCTTATAATATATTATAATATTAAACATTCAACATTCAAATATATTCTAAAAGTATATTCAAATGTATTCTAAGTACGCAATGAAGACATGTTCCATATACCTGACGGATTTGTATCGAAAAACCTGATCGGGGCTCTTAGGATTGCTTGAAACATCTTTTTGTGCATGTGGATGCCAGACGTGACACAAATGTATAAATTCATATTTGTGCGTAGCACCACTGCCAGGATCATTGACACACAAAGGACTGAAAAGTAATATGATGGTTGAAAAATTCAATTCCACAATATAACCGTTCCAATACTATAAAAATCAATAATAAATTTTTGTAAACTATCTAATCATTTGAAAACCAAGATGACGGAAATAATACATTTATCATGCAGTTGGTATACTTAATTACCGATACAAATATTAACAAAATATCGGTTTGTTTCTGTTTATAAATCTTTGAGCAATATTACCTGATAAGCAATGTCAATATATGAAAAATAATGACTAAAACAATTTCGAAAAATTGATAATTTAAAAGCCAGAATCATCCTCTAAAGTTCTAAACTTTAAATTCTAAAGCGTTCCGCCATAATTACCTGCATACACTTTCAGATAAAAATATGAATTAAATTCTTCTCTTTGGCCAAGTATTGTGGAGGTGCTCAAATTCAAAAATTTAGAACGTGAATTAACTATTCCTGATCCAGAATATAATACTGATAAATTTAATGGTGAATTCTGTGTCGTTGAAAATGCTGTATAATTTTCGTATGAAGTTGCCCTGTATTTAAACACCAATATGTAAATATCGTCAGTATGAAGCGGAACAGAACTTATTTAACGAGATTGTAATCTGGCTCACATTCAAAAAATTCAAACATTTCGATTCAAACATAAAATACAATCATCAAAGCAAATGTTTTATTTAAAACTCTCAAGTAGAAAACAATACGACAATAGTTAGGTAAAAATCATTAAATAACTTTGATCATTCTTGACAGAGTAATGTCTTAACATACTTCTTCATTTGTCGATCACAAACTCAAGAACAAACCCAACTCGTCATTAAGTTTTGGCATTACAAGAATTGCGTGGACCAAGCACTGAAAGCATTAAAATTCAAAACTTTGCCACTGAGCAAACAGTAAGTTGAATGTTTCATATTTCACGAAATAGCCTATAGGTTCGCATCTTCATAATAGACGTACCATTCTGATAGCCACCAGTCGTTTAGGATGTAAAGCGCGTGACTGGCTATGACAACGATGAAAAACAAAATAAGTGTCAACGTGTTCGTCGCAACTCTAAAATACTCAAGATAAACGTTTCCACCAATGCGTCCTTGCTCTCGAGCTTCTTTTTGCGTATTCTCTTCAATACTTTCTTCTTGTGTCTGTATGAAAATTAATACACTTTTACTCTTGAGATGTTCTATATTGCATTTAATTCTTTTATATGCAGAGCAAATATTCTATTTTTGTTTGCCAATCATCAATTGACAATAATAATTCAATTTTAATTTTATTGGTTATTTACAATATTGAATCTCACTTCATCCAGCATCTCAGTGAACGAATTTTTCGAAATAATGGAAACTTGCGATAAGTTTAATGAACTTTTTCTCAACTTCGTGGGAGATGTTGTGTTTGATTTCCTATGCGTACTTTCTTCTGTGAAAAGCAATTAGGATTTAAATTAAATAATTTGTTTAAATATAAAATAATTTCTTCAAGTATTTTCAGTGAAGAATAAACGAGGTTATCGGTCGGAGACTGAAGACTTATCGATCGAAACTGCGGTTTCGATTCATGACTCTATAGTGACACCACGTATCCCATCACTAATTAATTAATAACTTGCTAATTATACGACATAATTCATCCAAAATCATTATGCGTCTGGTCCGACATATGATGAATGCACATGCACATGGAGCAGATTCAACCTCGGCTTCTTGAAATATCGCATTAAACTAACAGACAAACAAACAGACATACAGACAGACAGACAGACAGACAGACAGACAGACAGACAGACAGACAGACAGACAGACAGACAGACAGACAGTCAAATACCTATCAACATACTTACCGATCTTAAGATCGATAAGTAATGAGAGAACGAAACACCAGGATAAAATATGTCACTAATCTAGCAAGCGTTATGTCGCCAGTTTCGAACTTATTATATGCCCCATAAATATAAAACGCATACTTTCCGTAGCATTTTCGATTTTGTTTTCATTCTTTTCATTGAGCAAAGCAGCAAAATCTACACCATTAGCCTGGAGTTCAATATACGTTCCGCGATCACATACTCTTCCCTAAAGCATTAATGCAAGGAAATCACAATAAAAGTAAGGTGGCGATATTTGCTGTGCATATAAGAATATTGCCTTTTTTTAATCATTCAGGTATTCCTGAAGTATGCGCAACAGGATGTCTCACAACCTGAATCCTAACCTGGTACACAACCTGACTTCAGGTTGTGCGCCATCTTGGTGAGCATACTTCAGGAGGTCCAAGGAATTTTATTGGGAAAACGGTGGAAAATATTATATCTGATAAAAATAATCTACATAATTATAAAGCAAAAGTTATAAAAGCATTATAACCTCTTTGAAAATGAGAATTTCATCAACGTTTTCCAGTAACTGTAATTGGTGAGTCACAAGTACCCGAACCTGGTAAAAAGGATTATAGTTTGAATGCCACTGAAAAGTCACCAAATAAAACAAATGAAACGTGATGAGTTACCTTGTCTTTCATGAGTTCGCAAATACAGTGTTTAAATATGTGACCTGCTACCCTTGTATCCACTGCGCTCAATGGATTGTCTAATAAGCAGATATTTGCGTTCTTTTTATAAGCTGCTCGTGCTAGGCTAACCCTTGCTTTCTGGCCACCACTTAACGTGACACCGCGCTCTCCTATTAGTGTTAAGTCTCCATCAGTCAGAAGATTTAAATCCTGAAATTGTTTGTAATGACAATATTAAATGTTGCCGATGAAAATGGGTCAGAAATAATATGAACTGTATGTATTGCAACGCTCTGCCAGAATTTCTGTGTATGAACTTCGATAAATTCGATTCAAGTAAATTTTATTTCGAAGATTTTGATAACATCATGAAAGACATTTATTTCGATATATATTTATGCGTCTACGAGTTATTTCAAAGTTATATGAATATATAAAAACTCTCTACATTTTCTATAAATTTTCCCACATTACTTATAGAATACATACATACATACATACATACATACAGCATTTTATACCTTCCTTAAACAGCACGCTTTGATCACTTCGTCATAATGGTCTTTATCGAATTTGTGACCAAACAAGATGTTTTCCCGCACAGTACCGGAGAAGACCCACGGAAGTTGATTTGAGTAAGAGATACGCCCATGAACTAAAGCTTTACCTGTTAACGCCGGTAATTCGCCGAGTATTGCGCTCAAGAAAGAGGACTAAAATAAATAAATATTTAAATAAATATTTTAATGCATTACAAGGAAAATTTGCAAAATTTTACCTTCTTCGGAGAAGTAAAATTTACGGCAGTAGAATTTTTTCCAACTATTTTGGTAAAAGAACTCGTTGGAATTACATAAAAAAATATCGAAAATTTAGAGGAAATTTTTGTTTTAAGAAGAAACCTTTTGCATTCCAGTAAATACAAATTAGTAAACAAAACATTTGTTCCCTCATTTGCTTACCTTTCCTGCGCCGACAGGTCCAATAACTGCAAGAAGTTTTCCTGCTTCCACCCGAACGTTTATACATTTTAAAGTGATTTCTGGTCTTTCTTTGGTATCTTCATTCTGAGTGAAAATTGTACATTCAGTAATATTCAATGTTTTTGTCATGAGATGTTGGAGAAAACAGAAATATTAATCGAGAATATTCTCAATATATTTAAACTTGAAGCATTCTCATGTCGGGTGTGAGCTGAGTTTGAATTCAGAATCAGATTTTTCAAGTATTTCTTTTATTATATCTGTATAGCAGATATTTATTCTCAGAGCTGAAAATCTTTTTATATTCGCCTTCTTACCAATTCCCATTTTCCACTGAAGTTCTTAAATTCAACAAAATATTCTTCGTTGGATTTGTGTTGGAAACACGTTTGAATTTCAGAAAATTCATCCATCAGTAAATATTTCTGACAAGATCATAAACATTTTTTAGTGATTCAGTTTTTAGATACATAAAAGTACTATTATTATCATATCATAACTTTATAACATGTTCGTGTGTCTCAAAATATTTTTTCGGACTTGCTGGGAAAAAAGACCAGGTTACAGATTTTTGTAAAAGGTAATTATTTCAAAAGAAATATGCGCGATAATGTACAATAAAAAAGGTGAAAATATGAAGGTGAACAAATGAATGGGAGCAAACTTATAGAATTATGCTTCGAACGCAAAATACTCATGAAATACTAATGTTATATTTCTCTTTTGCGACAACATAAATGAAAACAAAAAACAAAAGGACATTAGCCGTCTTGTATCGTAGGGTTAAAAAAGTAGTAATCTCAAATAAAGCTATGCATGAAAATAAACTGTAATGACCAAAGCTTTACAATGTGCACTAAACATTGCCATTACCTGTATTCGCGCCATTGATACGTTGATTAATGACATAAGTTCAAACGCTAGCGCAAATGCCTTCCCAGTGAATCCCATCACATAACTGAGTCCAATTAATAAAAATATCTAAATTAAAATATTGTATAATTTTGGTTACAGAACATCGTAAAGATAAAGCATGAGAGACTAGTATACTCGTTTACAAATTAATGCCGAGTTCATGTACACAAGTTTAGGATCGAATACAAGAAATTGATGATATTTTTCGATGTCGATTTCAGATAATTAAACACATGTAAATAACCCTGACTAATTTAATTGTTTTATTTGTACTTTTACTTAAATTTTTTGAGTTAAATATATAGTTTATCTTTTTGTTTTGTACAAATTGTATATGTCATAATATTTGATTTTGAGAAATATTCAGTTGGCAATATTTACGTACCTTTGATGCTGAAATTCCACCTCCCAATAAGACATATAGTAGGAATATGATGAATGTCAGTATCTTGCCCTGGCATACATACAAACTGTAATTCATAGCTCTGATGGAAGACGATAAAAGAATTCGAATCACCTCTTTCCTTTATGAAAATGAACATGCATGTAGTAGATCAGATAAAAAGAAAACGAAGCAAACAGATGATTGTATTTTCCATTACACATTTGTTCCTTCTTAAAAAAGTAATGTCCAATTATCCAAATACCTTCTGACTTTTGATACAAGTTTAGCAAATGATTTTTCCCAAGAATTCATTTTGATTAGCCTTATTCCTGTGATCACCTCGTTCATCAGACGAATTCTTTCATCTGTGAGAACAGCTGTCATTGCCCTGTAAATTAGACCCAAGGCTTATGCAGACAATATGAATATGTTTTATATAGGAAGGGATAAGGTAAATTATAACATTTCATTGAATTACAAAATATACATGATGGTAATTGAATGCATAAATAGAAGTAACTTCAGTCAAATGTTGATAATTGATGGTGTGCAATAAAACGACGCAATATATTGGTTTTGTGAACTTAAATTCTACATGTGGATATCACGTGGTACAGACACAATTACACTTATAGCAATAGTAGTGGGAAAATTAATAGACGCAAATATATCTCAAATTGTTTTTCAAAACTTCATGTTAAAAAATATCACCTGAGTTTTCCAAAGATTCTTCCATTGAAAATTTGCAAAATCATGAATAAAACGAGAACTCCAATACCTGCTAATATTGCAATTCCAAACTCTTGCCAAAGCAATATTCCAACAACTATACGTTGCAGTGGTACAAGCCAAAGATAATTTAAGTAGATAAAGAACTAAAAAGAAAAACAAAAGTTTCTTATTCAATGTAATTGATTTATTTTGCATCTTATCGATTTTGCGAAAGATTGCTTTGCACTGTAAAAAGATTATCATTATTTTGGCTATAAAATGCGATTATGATATGGGTTAATGCTACAAATTTGTCCTTTTTTTATCTGTAAAGTGCACGATTTAAGATCTGCTTGCGTAATTAGGCAGTGTTACATAATCTGAGGAATACTTTAAGTAAACAGTTTATATGAGGAAAATCCAAAGAACAAAATAATGATCGAAAGCAATGAAACAAACAACTGGCGTGATTCATTATACACTTGTTTATCAGCCGATAATGTAAACTGTTCTATTGTTATATTTGACTCTATTCTTTCAAATCCAATTTACTAACCGCGTCAAAGTGAAGCACATCTGTTGCTCCAAGGTTAACTATTTGGCCCGTTGTTGTGTCTTTCAAAGATTTTTGACTCAGTCGAAGTGTCTGCAAGACAACAAATTTCTTGGTGATTATAAGCTGGTCATTTTTCACTGACTGGCATGACAGACATCGTGCTTCTAACGACAGAATGACCAAGTTAACTTATGTATGACCTGTTTTATTTTTTATTTTTTCCTGATGCATATTTATATAGGCTTAGGCCAAATATAGCGGTCCACCTCGAATATAACTAGCGTATTTTCAGTTGTACATGTATTATTGCTGAAGGCAGTGAGTGGTTCGAGCCTGCCGAGACCCTGCTCTATTTTATAAGCTCCCGTCGAACCACATCGTACTGAACAGTTGAAATTAGGAGCCCAATTCTAACTTTATGAAGGGAAACTAATTTCGTGCAAGATTATAGAAAATGAACATTGTGGCGTAACCTTAGAGACCAATACCTTTCGTGGATAGAGGAATTGTTTTGTCACAATAGTGTCGGCGGCAGGGGAAGCAATGTATTTGTGCGGGAGAAAAGCCGAAAAACTGATAAAAAAAATAGCAACTTTGAAAATCCGAAAGATGATAATGAGCCTCAAAACGTTGGAAGTTCAAGTCATTCGTTTCTCAACTTCAAACTGGATTGAAATGCGGATAAAAGTGTTCACCACTTGCTTTATTTTACAGAAATAGAGAAAGGATATAAATCGGCGCCATATCGAAGTTATCCAGAACGGTGATGATAATTTTGGGCAAAGCTCTGCAATGAAGTATTCTTTGTCGCAAATTTATCACCTAGTAAAACTCAAACACGCTCTGATTTTGCATTCATTTATGTACAATTTACTGCCAATCTTCGATTTATCAGTAAACCTAATTTAAATTTCATTAGTATGATAGATTATGATTAAGGATCACGCAAAATCTTAAGCTTGAAAATCCTTGGTTTGTCATAACAACCTAAGATGTTTCAAACCCCTAAGCAAAAAGCATCTAAAAGCGCTATCATAGATAAGTACACACGTACGTACGTCATATGTGAAGATATGAGCTTTCAATGATATGTACTAGAATCTAAGGTGTAGAACACCGACAGATTCACTAAACTTATATCTGCGCGAAGCTATACTCACGGCTAAGCTAATTAATTAGTTCTTGAACGTTTATGTTTGAATATCTGCGATGAACTATAGTTATTTTTGCATAATTAGTAGGCTAAGTAATAGAAAAGTCCCATAATATACAACTGTTTCGAAGGGCCTTCGTCGAACCCCTGGAACAGCTCCACTGAACCCCATTTGTTCGATTGAACCCAGGTTAAGAACCACTGAGTTAAGGTGATAAACAATAAGGACAGAGATCAAATTTCTAAAACGATTTTTGCCAAATCAGAATCATCACAATGTATTTAGTTTTATCGCAATGACTTTGTCATCTTTATTGTACCTTTTTATACATCAGTGCACAAGTTGATGCTCTCATATGCCATCCGATTCTTTGTGCTCTATAAAAAAGTTGATGGTGCAAGATTCCCAATAGTATTGTCATGACACTTATTCCAGCCGCATAGGCATATGCATGCCATACTGGAATATCTTGATTTTCGAAATATTTGATCAAATAAGCTGTTAAAACTGGTATTGCTGTTCGTAAGCTTTCCTGAAGATCAATAATAGAAATATTACGGATAGACATTAAGATTTTGAAAAAATGTAGACAGAGAAAGATTCATATGTATGATAGTTTAAATGCTAGTGCATTTATATTCACAAATTAATGTGAAATGACAAAATGTAATGTAACAGGACTATGCTATTGTTTATTTCGTAACCGCAGTGGAATATTTTAGTCAGCAAAATGCTTATATTTTAGTTACCACCTGCTGTATGTGTGATCTGTTCCCAATACTTACTTCAATTAATACTAGAACACCACAAACGACCAATTCTCTTCGATATGTCATTCTTACTGCTCTGAATAGGCTTGGTTTCCTTGTTTTCGTGTGCTTATACCGCTCGACTTCTTTATTCCAATTTCTAAAAACAAAATATGCGAGTTACCTTCATGGACACGCAGTGGACCTATGAATCGTTTTGTTATTATGTTTTTGTTGTTCTTGTTAGTATTCCTCTTCTTGGTATTCTTTTTGTTGTTGTGAAAAAAATCGATTTCTCTTCAACTGCCGACCAATTGAAATTTTACTTCTGAAATTTTCAGTGGCTCACGATTGTTGTTGTCGCTATGAGGATATTACTTTTTTTTTTATTTCGAACATTTCGTGGGCTCTATGGGAGTTGTCATCAAAATTGAAAATTGCGCACCGTGTGGCGGTTTGGTGATCGCATTTCAGCGACCTCGCTGTCAAGGAGTCGGAACTGTAGAATACTTGATACTATTCCGTTATAGCCTCATATGTCCCTTATATATATGAGCATTGACCTCTTGTTTGCTTAATTTTATTAACTATTTACTATTCTGAGTTTAATGTCAGATTTATTTGAGTTTTGAGATTAACTTCACAATATTTGTATATGAACAAAATATTCTGTACTTTACATACAAACTTTAAAATTTGGTTGCATCCTACCTTTCCAGTTTTTTTGTAATTTCTGACGACGTGTTAGAAGCATCAAGCTCATACATGTCGGAATCTTGCAACGGACGTTTGGACCCAGCAGCAAAAAAATCATTCAACCACCTGTTGGAAAATTAAATAAAATCATTAAGGTCAATATGTACTCAATGTACTGGTGTTTGTACTTTTTAACTGCCATTCTGTTATATTACACCTAGATATATTACAAAATATTACTAACTGTATCTAAAGATTTGATACTTTGAATTTGTAATTTTACTTTAGTTTTGACTAGATTAGACTTGATCGATCGGTTGACTCTGATTGCAAAGGCCCGTCTAGTCCATCACTCTTACACGGACATACACGTCACGACTGCAACTATTTCTATACAACTTTGATTCTGACTTTTATTTCGTCTGGTCACCTATGATGAATATGATTTTCTCATCATCAATATTTGCTATGTAACAGAGGTGAGAACTGCAAGTGCAACTGAAGATTGGAACGTATTATATTTAGTGAGCCATCGACTAAAGTTTTCTGATAAGAGTTGCAAACGCTCAATATATAATTATTATTATTATAAGTATGAAGCGATATATAGATTTATTGTTGGGCTACAAATTAAATCAGATAAGTATTCGACGATGTTTGATGAGGCATGGCCAGGAACAGCTGAGCAAAAACTAGTCCTACTCAGCGGATGCTAGCATGAAAATCGCTAGATCAGATAAACGAATGAGGTAGATGTCGTGACTGCTATGAGTGCTATCAGATATTGATTGCGGTGTGATCCAGTAAAATGAGATTTGTTACAATAATAGGAGAATGTCGCAGAAGAATAGATATAAGTGATTACAACATATGTATATTACTTACCAATATGATAACATGGAGAATATATTTGCTTGAGCCATTGGATTTGGACGTAATTTCTTCATACTTCGGAATTGTAATATTGTTATTGCTATTTTATACAGTTCTAACTGCAAAAATATAAATTTACCTTAAAATACTATGATTAGTAATAAATTATACGACTTAAGCCAAAGGGCACGGAGGATTAAATCAATCAAGCACTCAACGGCGCTATACGACAGAAAATTGCAATACAAAAACTTAAATTTTTTTCATGTTTGCTCGTTGTGTCAATGTCATTTCTCGATAGTAATAAGATACGGCGACTGTTTAGGTTTACCGACTGAAAGACACTACTTTTATATATAAAATGCAAATGATTAAGCTGTCATTACATTCTAATAGACTTTTTATATCCTGTATAGCTTTCAAGTTTTTAAAATTCTATCTCTGCAACAAAACGCCTGCGAGTATTTAGTATTAGTAATCTGTTTTCCCAAACTACATGAGCCAAATAAGCTAAGCCCGAAACGGATTGCATGAACTAAATCGTACGATATGTTGAATCAAAATGATAAAAGTCAACGCTGCCAAGTTTTATCCATATTAATCAAAAATTTAGTCACAAACACACATGGTAGACAATTGGTGTCATTTAGGCTCTGACGCCATGATTGTCCCACACGCGGCATAATTTTTATGAAGAATTATTTCATGCTCATGATATGACACATTCGCTATTGATTTGTGTAATTACTTCAGTAATCGTGACGTCAAAAAACATTGTAAGAACGAACTGTGGAGTATTGTCAATCACACATTCTATTCGATAGAAGTTAATGCTAAATTTATCTCACACCATTTTTCATATGATGATTTCAAGGAATAAATTTTCGAGCACAAAATTAGAAATATTATTCCTTCCCTAAAACTAGGTTTGCTCATTGACAAATATTCAATATCGGAAATTATGACTGGAAATTAGTTTGTACTTGCACTCCAGAATATGTGTATTTTTTATTTCCCCGTTTATTTGTCTGTGGAAAATAAATTGCAAGGCAGTTATTAACAAATAAAACACATCCTAGTACCAGCTGTACCTTCTAATTTGAACGTAACAAATGAGATCAGTGTTATTCATTAAATAAAAATTAGACCGAATAACATGATAATAAAATAAAATGAGATGTTTACTGGTATGTGGAGAAAAGTGTTGTATTTTTTGCTACACACATTTATATTTATTGGTGTATCTTCGACTCGCCATTAAGTATTATTGCAGTGTAACACAGTATTTTCGCAGGACCAATGTCTACTTTAAGAACAATTTATTTTTTTTTAGTTATTTTTTTTCAAAATAGTCAATTGTTTCCAAGCGAACATATGCGAAATGCATCGTGCACGGGATATCCATATTTAATTTAAATGCACGAAACATTAGGGACGGAATGAGAACAAATAGTCCAATTCAGGGATGGAAACATTGCTTAATTTGAAAAAAATTGTTTACATTTTATTAATAAAGAAGAAAAGATATCAATCATGACAAATGCGTTTTTTTTTTGTCAACTATGTATATAATATTATATTACAACATTGTTTATAATCTATATAGTTAATGCCGAAAATTTATAATTATGTAAAACGTACTTATTACGCGTTCACCTTTAACCGATTTTGTCGATCGTTGTTGTAATGTTTAAAATAGAATAATACCGTGTGGAGAATATATGTGTAACTTAATAAATCTATAATCCATTTTTTATTGGTGTTTATAATATTTTTGAATTATGTCAGTTAATATTGATTGAAAAGCATAATTTAAAGTTCAAGACTAATGAGATTGATTTAATTGCTTCTGGCAATAGATAAAGTGCAAATGATTCTCAAATAGAAATAACAGCGAATTAGCTTGGTTGATAGCAATGTAAGTTTTGCATTGAAATAAACTTTTGCTTTAGTTGATTTTTATGCGTGAAGTATTGCGTTAGACCAGCTATATGTTTTCGCAAAATCGAAATTTCACCCTCAAGGCTTTATCAATTTATTACGCAAAAAACGACCACTTTGCTCGATAGCATTAGGCAACTTATGCTGTCAACCCAAAATATTGTAGATACAATTACAATACATACATTAATATAAATACAGTGTAGTGAATCTGTATTGGGATTTTTAATAAGGAGGATCCCTTCATCAATATCCGTATAATATAGATATCTTCACATCTTCGACAGACTAAAAATAAAAGTGATTATTATTAATAAAACATCTTGTAATTTGTGTTGAAAAACCGTTTTCTAGAGAAGAATTTTGTATAAATATTTCAGCTTGAATTTGACACACTTTGCAATGATATAATATACAGAGCATAGACGATTTCAATCGAACGCTCAAAAATCTTCTATTCAACTACGATATTGATACTGATTACATGAATGTCATGGCAAAAATCGGTTAAAAATTGAGAAACTTGTGTTCAAATTCTGCTTTTTCATGTAATGAAAAACAACACAGCTCATGTCGATCACCGATCCACAAAGCCATCATCGGTCGATGTGAAAATTTATTAGAGTTCCCCTTTTGATAGTCCGGTTCTAGTTTTTAAGACTCATACATTCCAACAAATTTTAATTAATACCTTTCGTTTGAAATACCAACAGTCTTCAAAATGAACTGCATATTAAACATTTAAAGAATAGCGAAAGCCCCGAATTATATTTAATTTATGTTATGTACCATTTTCCGATGTGTACCTCGAGCTTTCATTCTTGAATGGACACCAAAACGCAAATAAAAGATCTTCATTCAACAACTGCAGTATGGTTAAAATTACCTGCTTGACATTTGTTTTATGTGTGTGCCAATTAGTGTTCAGTAATTATAGCATACCTTAATCACAACAAAAAAGTATTTTCCCAATATCCACTCGAGAATGACATAGTTGAGAAACAATAATTAATTGGAAAATTATCATACAGTTCGACGCGAATTTAGATCGGTTTTTATAAATTTATTTCAAAGTGTGTATTAAAAAAATGTTCTTTTAGACCAGTCCCCTACCAGTACTATTAATATTTGTCTCATTCGTTTTTTTTTTTGTGAATGGGAGACAGCTATACCTCATGTTTGTATTAGAAAATAGGCCAGTAAATATATCTGAGTTTAAACACGAATTTGAGCATGTTGATGACACCATCTCGTATTTCAGGAAACATTCTATTTGTTATTTAATAATCAGTTTCTAGTTTTCAAATTAGAAGGTGACTTCAGTGTATTTCCTCTAATTTTGTAATTTACGTATCATATTGCATATTGTTTAAAGGATCAAAGTGTGAAATACTAAGTAGAACACGATGAAAAAATGGCATGAATCTAGCATACTGGCTCATACTAATTTTTATAAATAGCGAAATATTATATAACTAAGTGGATTCTTTCCGAGACGGGTTTATCAATGTAATACATTTTCAGATTCATAATAATTTCACCAGCAAGTTGAGCAGCTGAACGAGTTTTATATTTTAAATACATATAAGGAATTCCTATGAGCATGTGGTGGGCGATTGGTGAGTGATTAATCAAGCATGGATTTTAGCTAACGGTTCAATAGTTGTCGTCAACAACGAATCAACCGAAGCGCGTGCTGCCATGCATAATTTTCACATTGTTTGTGTCCACCGTGTACGAGATATAGATGATCTTATAGACGAGTTCTTGTCCGCGATATACTATGCAATTTGAATTATAATATTTGACCGAGATGAACAGAATTTGAGCCTCGCATCGTGGCGTTCATCATTTAAGAATTGTACACAATAAATACTTCAAGCGCACCAGCATACATAGACTTATAGCACAGGTGTAGGCGTAGTAAGCCCTTCATAAATTTCAGTCCCAGACTTTAGCTGCATTTTATTTTTTATGACTATTTTATTGTTCACTTGGGGCAGGTGCTGCTATTTTACGACATAACTGCGAGGAAAAAACGATTGCAGTTAGATTCGTTATTAATGGTGTTAGCAATTTTGATGTTTTTACAGAACTACCAATATATCGAACAGTATGTCGAATTCATAGAGTTTTAATATGTAATTTTATTAGCTTGTGATATTTATAGAAAGACTTTTGCTATGATTTCTAACTAGCGGAGAAATATTTGACATTCTTTGTGTCTGAAAAACATTAATTGTGTCAGTTTTGTGAATATATTATCTATTGTTGACAAAAAACAATTTTTAAGGTGAGAATATATCAAAAAAGTCTCTCTATATATATAAAATAGTTTGTAATTTGTGAAATTCCATACAAATCAATTTCAATACGTCAGAAACTATTAAGTTATTTAATAGTGTATAGTATTGAAAGCAACACCTATTTAATATTTATTTATAAGTATATCTCAGTTGCAGAAAATTTTCTAGCCTGTTGAATAGATACAATGTGACCACACTAAAGTGTAGAGTAGACTATTCACAGCCAAACTTCGTTCTAGGTAAATTTAACTGATTTTTGTAGGTTAGAGAAATTCATACATTATTTAGATTTAAATTTATCTGTAGGTTTTTTTTTGATGATGTCATGTGCGCCATCGTACCATCGCTTTGTCCTGTGCCCAACATACCTATTCTCAAAGTTAATTACACAGCATTCCAATTTTATTTGCATACTAATTTAGATAAATGTACCGTCAATGATACGGCTATGGCGGTTTCTCAGAAGTATTCTCAAATAATACATTGCAAGTGATAATTGAAATCCATCGAGATACAATAACTTGTTGTTGTGTTTCCCGAATTTAATAGCGAAAACAAACAACAATGCCATCTATCTATTAATTGAACTTGGTCTCACAGTTCAGTCTGGTAAAATTATAATTAACGCTGAGAGACGATGTAGGAATTTTTTAATATTGGTATTTCTATTTGGCAATACTTAAAGCAATATGTTTGAACTCATTTTGAAATTAATTAAAGTATGTAAAGTGTTTACATTGTTAATAACAGTGTTAATATTTTGGCGAAAATTTCTGGAATAGCAAGCTTTGATTTATTCGTAGATACATTGTAAACGAAGGAACAACATAGGGTTTCTTTGAGCAAGTTTTTCAGAAGAGCCGTTTTAATTTCAGGAGCTATTGAAATGTTTATTGATGTCAAGCTTTCAATTCAACATAAAAATAGAGTCATGGTATTTTCCCTTTCTGTGGGCATAAAATTTCCTAACCGACGTTTTTTAAATGCAATGTTGTAAAATCAAAGCTTCTATTGCTATCAATTGATAGCTAAACGAGAAATCAGATTTGTTGACGTTTATACAATGTCTGTAGGTTTATACTGCTTGTGGTATAATCTTTGTAAAATCAACGAGGAAGAAATTCATGAACGCTCTGGGCATTTTAATGCGGTGTTTCCAAACCTTGTCAAAATAGGATATAGAAATAGGCAATGAGCTAATTACACCTAAAAATTGTGATGGACAAAATATGTCGGTGTTTCGTGCGCCACTCAATTTGTTACTTATAAAATCACCACAGTTTTTTGTATTATGACATAGAAAAACCAGAAAGTACCCGTCATTTTATCGTTGAATACCCGTAAATATAATTTGAAAACTCAACAAACTTTTTTTACGATTGACGGAAAGTATTTGTTCGTTTTCGTTTAAATATCCTCCAAAATATGATTATTTTGCTTTGTAAAATTAAAAAATATTTCATGTTAAATTTTAATTTTTCAGCAAGACAATTTCTTCCAATAAGATTAGATATCATTATTCGATAAAAATGAAGAAATTGCAGCCAAATCCAATGTTTCGGGCAAATATATTCTCTTTATTTTCATACTGGTGAGTAACGCTTTTTGTTCAATAATTTTCTAATAAATTACGGTAACCTATAATATTTTTATCGGGTGCATAAGAATAGGTTGCAACTATTCATTATGTGTAATTAATCATAACCTGATTGATACCAGAAATCTGTTTTTATTGTTTTGTATTCGATTATTTTCAATATATCACTCTGATATTTCCGAAAATATCTTTGAATGCAATTAATCTGAAATCTTATTAAAGAGTTCGAATACCAACTATCAAATTATATGTTATAAATCAGTGGTTCTCGGACTTTTTGAAAAATTATGCATAACGGTCTCTTTTCAATTTTTCTGATGACTCGCGGCCCACTAAAGAAATGAAAGCAAATAGCAACGCGATATATCAAGCATTCACCTATTGAATGACATTAAAGCAGTTCAGTGGGATGGGTGCGTCTGCATGGCTCCCACTAGTTCTTTTACCTTGGGTTATGTTTTGGATAATGCAACTCTCATATCGTGTCTCACGTCCATTCTGTTTCAACATTTTGTTTTAATAGCGAGTATAACGTAGAAAAAGCTGCCCCACACATTTTTAAATTACCCGAGAAAATTTACAATCAGATGCACACCCCTCTCATAAACAATACGCTCTGATTTACGGTACTTGCCACGTTCACCAACGTTTGGTATATAATAATGTCCTCGATAGAGCGTGTTATGCTTTGGAGAAACACTTTAAAAACATGACATCAAAATTTTACTTCAAATCAAAGTGCTTCTGTGCCGAGTCGCTCGCGGTCCGCCTTAATTCGCTTCGCGGGCGAATGTTATAAATAGTGAAAATTATTCGAATATCAAAGACCTGAGCCCGGGTGGGTGAAAAATAATCGACTCCATTTGCCGACTTCGATCACGATCCCCACTCTCAATCACTCTTCGATCACGATCCCCACCCCAATTTTTTAACGCTGACCCCCGCTCTGAAAAAATAAATTCTGATGATAAAACCTTCGGCATGTGGAAGCCTATTTTAATAAATTGGTTAATAAGGTCGCATGCAGAATCTGGGGAATTCAGAATTTCGATTTTGACTCTCGAACTGGACTTCCGACGCTTATTCTACCGAAAGCATGCAAATTCCTGTTGGGCCCAAACCACTGCCAAATATATTTTATTCAAGTAGCCGAATGTGAAGACTTGAAATCTACATTATACAGCAGTGCCAAATGCCACATTTTCATATTTAAATCTCTCGCACTACGACTAAAGGTAAATAAACCAATCGCAAATTCACCCAGGTATTATTATTCAAAGGACTTCGTAGTTTTAATTTGATTGACATTATTCAGAAAATTTGACTTATCTTATGAACATTATCAATATAGTTGATATAATTGTTATCAAAGTCATCTACATTTCATAATTAATTAATAATTAGTTACCTAATTAATCGATTACCTAATTAATACTACGAAACCTATTTTCATTTATCAATCAGGTGGTTGAATGACTTTTTTGCTGAAGGATCAAAACGTTCGTTACAAGAATACGATATGTTGGAACTTGATACTTCCAATACATCAGCAGCAATTACCAGTGATTTAGAAAAGTGAGAAAATAAACGATATCATATTTTGGACCTCCTGAAGTATGCGCACCAAGATGGCGCACAACCTGAACTCAGGTTGTGTACCAGGTTAGGGTTCAGGGTATGCGACATTTTGGTGCGCATACTTCAGGAGCACTCATATTTTTATATGCTTGATGGTTATATATACACAGGAAACGATCCCAAAGCCCATGCCGCGCGACACCGAGTAGGGCCACCATTATTTGTATGTACTCCATGTGATGTTTAATGGTGACAATGATTTTTTCTTGCCTGTGGCGAATGTTAAACAATTTTCAAAACGTATTTTAAACTTCTGACACAACTGCAAACGTACAAGCATTGAACAGAACAAGCATCCTCGTCACTTGAAATTGAATTTGCTAATTTGATGATGTGAATAGATTTGCATATTTGCAATCATTTATCTTAAACCTACTATACAAAGTAGTCACGCAAGTAAAACATTTAAGTTCTTGTCATATCTGAACCGCCCAATATTCGAGTTTTCTATCAATTCTAAAAATCATTGAGCAGAAGAAAATAAATCTTCAAGTTTGAGTAATTACTTCAACGCTTTAGAAAAAGCTAAAACATTATCATGAACTTGCGAATAGAAGCGAGAAAGGGCGAATTTTAGAGTAGATGCACGAAGCACTGAGACCATTTCGAATGACTCTTTTGAAGAATCCAAAAGATACAATTTTAGAAAGTGATCTGAATGTAATAGCAATTAGAATCAACTTTTTCTTTTAAAAATAATACATCAATCACTAATTTTGTTTAGAAATTGGAAGAAAGAAGTCGAGCGTTCTATCAAATCCAAAACAAACAATCCGAGCTTAATTCGTGCAGTAGTCATGACTTATAAAGGAAGACATGCGATTTGTGGTGTATTGGCTCTTTTAGAAGTAAGTGAAGTAAAAATTTTGTAATTAATATTATAAATACCAGGATGCAGTTAGTTTCTTATTTTTACTATTGAAAAATATTTCGTTGTATACCAACAGTACAAGGAGGAAAATATTCGGAAGTATATTTAAATAAGTTTTTTTTAAATAAGATTTTTCTAACATATAAGCAGCTTCTGATTTCAATTCTTGTTGTTTTATTCTCATTCTAAAAACGTATGAAGGTAATAATTTAAAAATAGTCAATTGTACTTCGTATTTTTCAATCCACCATTTAGATTAGAATATGAAATTAAAAAATATCATCGTGCCAATATCTCCGAAATGACATGCAAAAAGGTAAATTTGCCGTCGCCCTTTCCCTAAACATTTGCAAACTTATACGTTTTTTTCTCTCGCGGAACGATATATCAATCAGAAAATTTCAACATCACTTCCCTAATATTCTTCAGGAATGTCTTCGAACAGCAGTACCAGTTCTGATTGCATATCTTATTAAATATTTCGAGAATCAGACTGATACTCCGGTTTGGCATGCATATGCTTATGCAGCTGGAATCAGTGTCATAACAATATCATTGGCTATTTTACATCATCAAAGTTTTTATTTATCGCAAAGGATTGGGTGGCATATGAGAGCATCAACATGTGCATTGATGTACAAAAAGGTAGTGTAATCGACATCATTTTTATCTGCAAATGCATTTTCAAGGGTATGAATTTTTCATGTGTTACCAACTTCCAATATCAAGTGACTATAAATTCTATTCGAAGATTAACTAAATAAATGAAATAATCCACATCCTCCATACCTTAAATTATTTTCTTTTATTTTCCAATAAATATTTGGTAAATGTTATTTCATTTCGAGAATTTCTGTATCATCTTTCGATCCATATTAAATATTAAAATTTGTTTGACAGACACTTCGATTAAGTCAGAAATCATTGAATCACACAACAACAGGACAAATTGTTAACCTTGGGGCAACCGATGTTCTTAGATTCGATTGGGTGAGCAAGCATGTGAAGCAAGCATTTTTCGAATCAGTATCTTTTCATATTTCTCTGACCATTCTATCATTTGCTACTCAAGCTAAATCTTCAGGGTAACGATTTAAATTTTAACTAATTTTTACAATGGAAAACCGACATGGTATCGAACAATTTTTGAAATTAGAAAAGTTAAATTAAAACAGTAAGACAACGGAAATGAGAAAAATATACACCCTGGAAAATAGATACTCAGAAAAATCTTTAAATACTGACAATTGGTATATAGCAAAAGCACCATTTGATAGTCCAAGCGATTGAAAACAAAATATTTTATTACATGTTAAAGTTACCGGTGTTCCTGCATTATTTATGGATCGGCCCCTTGCAGTGTTTAGTAGTTGGAGTAATACTCTGGCAAGAGTTTGGAATTGCAATACTAGCTGGAATGGGAGTTCTAGTGTTGATCATGATTTTGCAAACTTTTAACGGCAAAGCATTTGGAAAACTGAGGTGACTCATTGAAATATGTATTGTTTTCTATTATTGTTATTTTTCCTGCAATATTATGGATTGCAAGATTACAAATATTGAGGATTCAAAATCAGCCCATTGTTCTAACATTATTAAAATTAGTAGCTTCTTTACATATCAGTGACTTCTTGTAATGACCCCTGTTCAGAGCACAGGCGCAAAAACGTCAAGTAAAAAATGTATAGCGTATGAAAATAATTATATCAATAACAAATATTTTGCAAAAATTTCAGCCTTCGTTTTTATATTTTGTAATAAATAATTTACCATGAATTTCATAACGTTTGTGATCAACAAACTTTGGTTTGCGAAGGCGTGTAATTCCCGTAAATATTCATAAAAAAAAAATAACGACAAAATATTGAAGTTACGACCTGAATTACAGAAGCATGACAGCTGTTCTCACCGATGAGAGAATCCGACTGATGAACGAAGTAGTCACTGGAATGAGAATAATAAAAATGTATGCGTGGGAGAAACCGTTTGCCAAACTTGTATCAGATGTCAGAAGGTAATCTTGATTTGACGTTATACCAATGCTTTATATGATTTGTTTCTTGTCGATTTTTAAACATATAATATACGGCTTGGCCGTTAGACATGTGATCATATAAGCTCGGTTGATAAATCTACTTGATTTAAATCATATAGAGGGAGACTGTGTGCGAAAACAAGGCTGAATCTCGGTCACATTCTTGCAACAAATAGTTTGTCATGGCGTTTTCACTACCCTGTATATATATGTATGTATAACCTTTAACCGTTTAGTTACTGTTACATCCTGTGCAGACTGGCAACAGAACGATGGACCTTTGTTAGGATCTTCATAAATCCGCCTTCTCATTGCATATCAGAATTCAAATATATTGTATCTTATCTTATATTTTACCCTTTTATAGAGTTTGATTTTTACCCTCCATTTTGTTATCACTACTAAAGTTTATTATCTTGACGTTTTTTCATACAGAAAAGAAGTTAAACGAATCCTCATGGCATCTTCAATAAAAGCTTTCAATTTCTGTTTCTTTGTATGTCAGGACAAAATACTGACTTTTGTTACGTTAATAGTATATGTCGCTTTAGGAGGTACAGTTACAGCGTCTAAGGTATGCGAAAATTACATATTTTAGTAATAAATAGTGATAACTGATAATGACGCATTACATAAGTTTTACATACAGGATCTATACGTATATATGAGTCGTCAAAAACATATTGCGGGAACGTAGCTACCAACTTATAAAAATCTTTCCGAATAAACATGGTATAGTTCGTTTTCGGATTGTAGCAAAATTCTGTAGTTTATCTATGAATAAAGATTCCTTTTAATTTAAGTATTACAATTTAATATCACAATATAACACTAAAAATTTAAAAATTGGTGAACAGTATCAAAATATCTACCAATATAAGTACAAAATAATATGTCAAATTAAACAGCAAGACCAATAATATGAGCTCACTAATTATGATGATTTTACTGATATTACGTTTTCCAAATTTGTCTGTCTTATCGCAGAAACTTGTTTTTGTTATAGAGTTTTCTATTATTGTCGATCAGTACTGCACTGAGACTTCCAGTTGGCTTCTTTTATCCCCGTGCTATGACATATTTGTCAGAGTCACTTGTTGCAATTTCAAGAATCGAGGTATAAATAAATCATGAAACAACTGAAATAAAAAACACATCATAATCAACATACATAAGCTTGATGCATTAACTTTTTTTAAGCAGCTTATTGATATTTAACACATTACCGCATGCATGGCAATGAGATTCGTATAATTGCTTTCGATAACTGTGTCCGGACAATGACTGGAATACTGTCTGAAATAAGTCATTTAACAAGAAAACCTGAATTTAAACATTTATTATCGAATCACCTCTGATCATGGTAATATTCTGTCTGATGCTTAATGTTTGATCATTGATTACGATATATATATCTATAATAAACTCATTAAAATCTAGGCGTTTTTTCTGATGAGCATCCTTCGAGTTGTGAGCTTAGTTACCGGCTCATTTCTACCATTAGCAATTGAATTTTTATCGTCGTCGATCGTTTCATTTGGTAGGATACAGGTAGGATTCAAGTGTATCTTAGTAATTACCGAAATATAAAAATACCATCAAATGACGTGGTCTGACACAAAAACATCTTGAGCTCCAGGTTCTGTGCTTCCATCACATATTTAAACCAAAAGAAAAGTCGAGTTAAGAATGATTAAAAATATCTGGACTGTTGCTATTAACTCATTTTGAGCAGACCATGTCATTTTTACTTTTTTATAGTAACTACCAACAATCGGAGATTGGTTTTTGGTGAATATCGAGTGTGTACTGATTGCACATTTATATAATTTAAGTCAACCCAGCGGCTACAGTATTAACTTTCCTGATTATCATTGAGAATTTTCTAATATCTTCGGTGATTTATGCACTTTTGTTTCTAATTTAGATATTTAGCTTATTGGGACTTTCTATTGTTTTGAGAGAAATGTGTTTTTTCAATGGGCGAGCAGCTGAATGCTTGTGGTCGGTTGACGTATCCATGAGACGAATTCGGGTATACAAAATCGTTCTGAACCATCACAAATACCGGTACTATCACATCACACAACGTTTCCTATCACGTAGGCCTACATGGGCAGTTTACTGGTTGATACTCACAATTTATACCCGGGTGTCTTCGTGTCATTACAGTATAAAAAACTTAAAAAGAATATGAACACCAGTGTAAAAGAAAGAACACAGACATATGCACGAACATTTTGCATGATTGGAAAACGTGAAGCAAATCAAATGCACGTTTGGGAAATGCATGTTGCATGTATAGAATTAATCTTTTGATAGCATGCATAAAACTTTTTCGGTGGTGTAATTATTGTAATATTTATGCATTATTTATTTATTTATTTATATTATTTATTAGACTGACCAACGATTTGTCGATTAATAATCTCAAGCTACGAGACTATTATCTGGCTGGATTTGTTTATACATTATATTTGTGATATATAGTTTTGTAATCAGTTTATCGAAATTTATTTATCCAAAAAGTTCAAAATGTAGATACACTGTTCAAAAAAGTTCCATTTTGATAGAATCAGTCTTGTGAGTTAGCATTGCAAAACACATTAGAGCATTTTGTCCTCGTTTCGTGGAAAATTGGTAAACTTTTTTATTTAACATTAGAAATATTTGCTGATGGAAGAATTTTCAGAAATACGAACTAATCTGCAACCAAAAGCAAATATAGATGCGTTTGTTGAACTAAAAAATTTCAGCGGTAAATGGGATTTAGTAAGTAAATCAAAAATTATTTGTAAGCCAAATATAGAATGTTTTCGTTGAAAACGATTCATCATAAAATAGATTCAAACATATTTGTTTTGGACTTGATTGAAAATCTTAAATTGAGTCCAATTTCAATAGAGAAAAGTCCCTAGATAGGCTATATAACACCCAAAGTATGTAATACTGATATTTGTTTGAAATATTAATTCTAGAAATACGCATCGAGATATCAGACAAATAAATCGCCGTTGTGGCTCTCTTATACTTAAGTTCACATAATGTACATTTTACTCAGGATGATGATTCTAAAGAAAGAGCTGATATCACTTTGAAATGTATAAACGTCCGATTGGAAGCAGGAAAACTGTTAGCGGTTATTGGACCAGTAGGCGCAGGAAAGGTAATAAACGTTCCCTGTTATAATATGACTACTTATTTGCTAGAATATAGATTTGAAGATTGAAGAGCTAAACTACACCAGGTAAACCAAATTTCATTGAAATCTAAAATATAAATATTGTTTCCCCCTATTATATAAGCGTTCGTGTGCTGTGTACTGTGGAGAAAATAACTATTTCAATAAAATATTGAAAGTTTCAAACTAAAATTTATCTTAATATGTCTTTATTTTAGTCTTCCCTCTTGAGTGCAGTGTTGGGCGAATTGCCGGCCTTAAAAGGAAAAGCTATAGTTCACGGAAAGATTGTTTACTCCAATCAAGTTCCTTGGGTTTTTTCCGGTACTCTACGAGAAAATATTTTGTTCGGTGAAGAATACGAAAAAGAACGATATGACGATGTAATCAGCGCGTGCTGTTTAACAAAGGTGAAAGGATAAGGGTTGAACAAGTGTTTCTTCGAATAAAATATATATGGATGCGTAAATGTTCTATTCTCCATGAACATTGCTATCAAAAATGTTTTCCTAATTGGTAACTTGATATACATATACATCCAAAATATGGTACAACCAATCATATATACAACCAATGTCATATCTATATACAGGCAGCTTAATCAATATATACGTATACAGCCATTCATACGGTCAGTTGATTTTAATTCACACATGGGAATGTGAAAGCATTGTTAATACCTTTTAAAAATGGCCAAGCAATAAACTTATCAGCAACATTCAAACAAAAATGATTTCAGGATTTGACCCTTCTTAGCGACGGAGACTTGACACTGATTGGAGAAAGGGGTGTCACATTAAGCGGTGGTCAAAAGGCAAGGGTCAGCTTGGCACGAGCAACATACAAGAGAAATGCAGATATATGCTTATTGGACGACCCACTAAGTGCAGTAGATACAACAGTAGCAAGTCACATATTTAAACATTGTATTTGCGGACTCATGAAACATAAGGTAATTGATTGAAAAATAAAAATTAGTTGTCCGTGATTGTTTTCTTTTCAGTAGGATAAATTTAGCCCAAGTCAAAGTTGCTTCTCATTTTTTATCAAGCAACAATCGAAGGGAAAAAGGCAATTTTGATGGCAATATTATATATTGTTCATTGAATTGCTATATATTATATTCTTATCATATACTTTGACAACAACCCAAAGTTATGAAACTTCAATGATTTTGAAGATAACCGTTTCTCATTTTTCCCCATATCATCCTGCATTCTTACAACACTCATCTCACATATAGATATATATATATATATTCGAATATTTGGTTCATTTTAGAAAAAAAGGAGGTATAAATGCTTTACTGATAACATTTTCGCAATCCTGTAACTTGCACAATATAAACTGTTGACTATCTTTAATTAAACTGAATCGATAACGATATTTTGGACAGGCCCGAATACTCGTGACCCATCAATTACAGCTACTGAAGACCGTGGATGAAATTCTGATTTTCAAAGAGGTTACCTACTACGTTTTATAGTGTTTTTATTTTTTTATTTACCGGATTTTTGAATAAAGGAAATTATTATATGCCTATACATCAATATTAATGTAGAATATAGTATGTTTGCTGGCGCAGTGATTTTGCTTTCGCCCATTAATTTATTCGATCAGCCAATTTTGCTGCCATGTAGCTCACAGCTTTAATTTAAAACAAATTGTGGCATAGCGGTATATATAATCTTCAATTTCTATAATTTTCAATTTCTACTAATTATCCGTATATATTACCTAAAATTTGACATTTTATATTTCAATAGTTTGAATAAATTTTTCCATTTAATTGTGCTGCCATAGTTATTATTATTTTTCCATTCCGACCTCAGGGAACGGTATCTGATCGTGGCACATATGATGAGCTTCAAGCTAAGGGGGTTGACTTTGCTGCTCTTCTAAAGAAAAAAGAGAAGGGCGTTGCCGCTGAAGGTATGCGATGCGCTGTCTAGAAAATATAAATTGTTACATTACAATCACTAATTCAGCAAAAATTACTGAGAAGAAAATCAGTCTACTCTGAGACATTCTGAAAGTTCAGTAAAAAATCACACACTATCATTTTCCAGAATCTATACCTTTGACACCTAAAATCAGACGTAGAGCCTCAATCAGTGGATCTTCCTTACTCTCAAGAAGAAATTCACTCAACACATCGCATATATCTATCATGTCAAGACTTTCGTTAACCGAAATTGAGCAAGAGGTAAATTATCTTGGGTAATCCCAAACGACTGTTCTCAATATAATAAATTTGCCAATTTATTTTAACGGTAACTGAAATTCGTGTATAAATCGAAATATCATACACAAAGTAATATATTAACATTATAATTAAGACTTTATGATTTGTATATCGACAAGAGGGCAATGCTCGAATATATGGGCACGTATGCCAAAACGAAATTTTTTACCCACAGTACCGGTAGTCTACCTTGACATAAACCACCCGGCCTCACAGAAATAATTGAAATAAATATAAAAAAAAATGAGCCAATAGTTGGGAAGAAAAGCAGTTTTTTCTCAACTACGACAAGAATATCGAGAGGAATACTAACAACGACAATAAAACCAATTTATCATAACGATTCGCGATCCATTGAATTGAATGAACTTGATATTTTTTACCGAACATAATGTAACGGCTAATTAACTATAATGAAAAGCACGTCGACGTTTCATATATACCAATCAATATACAGGAAAAAAGTATGGGAGAGTTGATACCGGAAGAAACACGAGAGCAAGGAAGCATTGAAGGAAAAGTTTATCTTGAATATTTCAAAGTTGCTGCAAACAAATTTTCCCTTGCTTTGTTTTTCATTTTTATCATAGCAAGTCACATTATCTACGTTATGAACGACTGGTGGCTATCAGAATGGTGAGTCTATATACCATGAGATTTTGAGATAACACTCAAACTTAATCACAGCCCAAACAACTCGACAAAGTTCTAAACTGCCTTGGCTTTCAACGAGGTTCACTGCCGAAATATGTAATGTTTGCAATTTGACGTGTTCAGGAAATATTTTCCATAAAAAATATTGGATTCAACATTTCTCGCCTTTTAGTTATGTTGGATATTGATACATCATCACAGGGCCGCATCATACGAAAACTACGTTGAATCTTTATCAATGATGTCGAATTCTTCACTAGATGAATCAATGCGTTATTCTGGATCAGGACAGTTTGAATCACCTACTAAAACTGCAAATTTGACTTCATTAACTCAACTCGATTCTACAGCAACTTTCGATTCAAGCTTCTACCTGAAAGTATATGCAAGTGAGTTTCCATTATTTTCCAAAAAAAAACTGATAGCGTAAAATATTGCAATGTCTTTTTATTTTATTTTCAGTATTATCGGCAATAATGGTAATGGTTGTGTTGATTCATGCAAACATACATTTTTATATTTGCGTCACTTCTGGTATTCACATGCACAACAAGATGTTTCGAGCAATTTTAAGAGCTCCTATCAGATTTTTTGATACAAATCCATCAGGTAGGCGGTATATAAATACTTTTTCGATGCCGTAATTTTATTATTCGGTTATAACTTCTATGTATTACTTCATTATATTGTTATGTATCTCTTTATTAAATTATTGTAACTAAGCTATGTTTAGCATATTTTATACAAATTTGGAATGTAAAAATTCACGTTGTATACAGGAAGAATTTTAAACAGATTTTCCAAAGACATGGGACAGATTGATGAACTTCTGCCTCTTACATTTATGGATTTTTTGTGGGTAAGAGCGAAAATCATATCTGAAAGTGTTAGGAAATATAAGTGATTTAATTCAGTAATTTATTTATTCACTCCAGAGGTCTTAGTTGTTATCTGTTTTTCCGTATTACTCATATATACTAATTTTGGTTTATTTTTGTACTCACAGATATTTGGCGTTATCATCAGTGTATTGATTCTAACATCAGTTGTCAACTATTTTGTCATCATTGTAATTATCCCATTGGTCATTTATTTTCTATGGCTGAGAAACTATTACTTGCGTACCTCGAGAGATATAAAAAGACTAGAAGGAACTTGTAAGTATAATAAAATAGGATATGCAGTTAGTGATTATATTAGTATGATGAAACCTATTATTCTGGCACGGTATAGTGGCGTAGCAATTTAAAACATTGGGATGACATTAACAGTTTCGATATTTTGTGAATCTAATTAATTTTTATCTAGGTAGAAGTCCTGTATTCAGCTTGTTATCATCAACTTTACAAGGTTTGCTCACTGTCCGGGCTTTTGGTGTTCAGAATCAATTTGAAAATAAATTTCACGAATGTCAAGATTTACATAGTGGTAATTTTCTTACAATATATACGAAAACAAAGTGCATGTGACTATCTCTTTTGTGTCACAATTGATTCCGCGATACTTAAACGAGACAATGTTAGTGCTCATTTGCGACTGGCTTAACTTGGTGTTGATCAAATACTATTCATTCCATTTCAGACAATCCTTACTTCAAATGAAATAAATGGCATTACCACAGACTGAACTCATTTTTTTTTCTTAAATAAGAAGAAATAACTTAAACTCTGTATATCACAATTTCCAATGAATTTCGAATTTATTCATTATTTCAGCATCCTGGTTTTTGTTTCTTGTTGGTTCAAGATGGTTTGGATTGCGACTCGATTTGATAACTGCTACGTTTGTATCCACTGTAGCATTTTTTTCTGTCATAAGTGCCTCATTACTGAATCTTAATCCTGGCGAAATTGGTCTGATTTTAACTTACACAGCTTCACTTGTAAGTCAGTTTCAATGGGGAGTTCGTCAAAGTGCAGAAGTAGAAAACTTGGTGAGTACAAATATCCCTGCACTTCAAATGATAAAATCAAGATGACAATGCATATAAATTTGATAAAGTATCCTATTCAATTATATACTGTCTTTATCAGTGTGATACTGTGATGGTAAGTCGACGAGTCGAAAATTTTCTTTGTTAGAAGTGAGCTGCGTTCTCATTGAGACAGGCATTTATAGGCTTATAGTAGATAACATTGGGAAACTATCATATATGAAGATTCGATTTTGTTTAAGTAGAATATTTTGACAATCTTATTGTGTTATTTAATTTTGTTATTAAACATTATCTGCGCGACATAAAAAGTAAAGAATCATGACAGTGTCCACCGGCCTGTGTATATTTTGAGCTGATGCATTGTCTACATTTATTAATCTGGAAAATCCGACTGAACAAAAAAAAAACCTAAACTTATTTCTGATAATCTACTAATTTTTTCAACTGTCTTTATATCCTGTTATTATTTTTTTTAGTAAAATCGTTCCTAATTAATATTTTTAGATGACATCAGTAGAAAGAGTTCAGCAATATTATCGAATCCCTCCAGAAGCCGCGGATGAGAATCCAGATAATAAACCACCTAAAAGTTGGCCCCCTTATGCCGCTATTGATTTTAAAAGCGTATCATTTTCATATTATAAAGATGGACCAGATGTACTACAAAATATTGATTTAGAAATACGCGCCAAGGAAAAGGTGAGTTAGTATTATGTAAAGCAAATCATATATTATAAACATATTAAAATAGCATTCTTTCTCAAAACAATATTATGAAGACGAACAAATTGAAAAATAATTGAATTTAAAACTTAATTGTGCATTTTACAAGAACATCACCGCAGAACATATGCCACTATAATGGTATATCAGGAAATGGAATTGTTAATTATGTTACTAGGTCAATTGGTGCTTTCAAAAATGATTATCAAGAATTATATTATATTTCAATATATTGTGTTTAGATTGGAGTCGTCGGCCGAACTGGTGCCGGTAAAAGTTCTCTTATATCAGCACTTTTCAGACTGTCGGAACTAACAAGTGGTGAAATATTCATTGATGGAATTCCCATAACACCTTTGGGACTTCAGGATCTACGTAGTGTATTATCTATAATACCTCAGGTACTTCATATATCTTTTGAGTTCTTGTACTTTTGTAGAATGTATTTTATTCGCATATTTTTCCTCTAGGATCCAATTCTCTTTACTGGAACGATGCGACGAAATATTGATCCTTTTAACAAATATTCAGATGAAGATTTATGGAACGCTTTGGAGCAGGTTCAATTTTAAAAATTTATTTGAATTTATTTATTTTTTAAGCCCGAATTTAATAATTTTTTACTAGCAATCTCCATGTTTGAAAAGCAATCTACAGCTGTTACATTTAATGACTAAAATTCTCATTTTCTCGTTTAACAGGTTCAGTTAAAAGAATTGGTAAAATCATTGCCAATGAAACTGAACACAGAACTTGCTGAATCGGGATCTAATCTCAGTGTTGGACAAAGACAACTTGTTTGTCTTGCTCGAGCAGTTTTGAGGAAAAGTAAAATTCTTGTGATTGATGAAGCAACTGCAAATGTTGATATCAGGTATATTTTAAATGTCCACGAAAATAACTATGCATTTGAAACCTGATTCATTTAAACCTCAATGAAATCGGTAGAAAACGGACCTAACTGATTTCCGACGCTATTGCTTTTTCAGTAAAATAACATTTTGCGCTATTTAGAAATTCAATGAATAATTTTAATGTAAAACGCAGAAACGACTAGGATCTTACTAAAATAATACTGTGTTAATGTAAATTTACAATTCCACCTCTTTCATTTACTATTTTTCTTGGAAACTTCTTTATGAATCTCACAATGTTTTATTTTATTTGCTTACAGGACCGATCGTCTTATTCAAATGACAATACGACAAAAGTTCAAACAATGTACTGTTATAACTATTGCACACCGAATAAATACTATAATAGATTCAGATAAAATTTTGGTAAGTAGTTCTGAAATATAATAATCATTTGCTAAACACTGATTTAAATTGATATTACGTCCTCAATCTAACCCACAACAAATCTAATAAACTCAACCATAAATGGCAGTAGATAATTAGGCACAAGGTGACGTAAATACCTTTGTAGATTTTAAATTTTGTTACGATCAGGTGCTGGATGAAGGACAAGTTAAGGAATATGACGAACCTCATACTCTTCTTGAGATGAAAGATGGTTATTTTGCTAGAATGGTTAAAAGTGCTGGTTTATCTGAGAGTCAAGTGCTTCAGATGTCGCCAAATAAGGTGATTGTTTCTTGTTTCTCTCCCACATTGCTTTTGCGGTTGCAGTATTTATCAGTCTTGATCAATTTTAATGATTACGTAGTCAGCTATACTTTCTGGAACGTCATAGATGTGTTGTACAGAATTTTTTTTTTATAGGGGATGGGGGGGCACAAATAGCATATTTGTCAACATCTTCTGTATTGTAATGATGTTTTCAAGTTTAATATAAATTTAGAATGTGATGTTTCACACTATTTTCACAGATTTCCAACTGCAAACATCCAGACAAAAATTACAACATACCATCAGTTACAACACCAATCCCTGATGATGATATGACCATATGGTAGTTCTTTCAAAACTTGTACAATAAACATTTTTGCATTTTCAATCCGTGTATTGTTAACCAGAACTATAACCAGGGCGGCCATAACGTCTTTATTTCGAAGATTTGCCCTTATTTTACCGTGGTGATTATGGGTTTCTACAAGTGAAAGTGAACTTATGTTCACCTCACTTATGAGAATAAAGAACTGCCGGAGCAAATCTTTTCTAGTGCAAAGTATGGCATGAATACATTTTGTTTATTACACTTCGTTTTTTTTTGTCTTATTATTAGGTTTCTCTGATGTCCTTATTTTTGGGTTCATATCAATGGCAGCTCTGTCTAAAACTAATGTCGCACTGCTTTTGTATGTTTTTAAATAAACGAATATGGAGTGATTTCTTTTTTGGAATTTTATTCAGTGAGGAACTCCGAGATCAACTGATGCTTAACGATTCCAAATTCCATAATAGTATTTAGAGACTCTTTTGGGATTTAATATGTAAAACCTCGAATATCTGGCAAAAATATCTTTTATGTTATTAATGGGATACACTACCATTCAAGATGTACTATAGGGGCTATTATCTGCGTGTCCACACTCCCATGTTATTGAATACACGTTAACAGACTGTAACTCCGATCTTGACTCCTTCAGAGGTCAAAAAGCACACAATTTATTGAATGCCGATGTTGTTATATCGTAAAGATGCACAATTGAATGGATCCCAAGAACAGATAACAAATTACACTCAAAACCTTAATGCAGTTAAGTGATGAAACCAAATTTCTAACTAGCAAAGAACGTTAAAGACAAGCAACACTGAGCGAGGGGAATAAATCAGAAAGGAAATGAATTAGAGCAACGACCTTGTTTCAGGCGAATAACATGCACTATTAACAATACGTGGTGAAAATATTAAAATACACAGTAACTACCCCAATGTACTCGCTACAGAACTATCGAGAGCGGCATATATATATTTACACGATGGACTTTATGCTCTTGTCGTCGGTAGACAAAGATGTTGTCATAAAAAAATTCAGTTATGCTGAATTCACTATAGGACTGCTACTTATGATTCTTTATGACTTCATCAACTCCCAGTCTATCAGGTGATAGACTACATACCTCTACCTGTGTGTTTGCTCTGCGTTAAACTCACACAAAATACCGTCTTCCTATCTCAGCATCTCAGCTCTCGAAATAAATATTTTAAATTGCAAAGAGGCATTATGAACTCCTCATAATGAATCTAAAGTTGTAACACCTTTTTGAATTTGGTGCTTAAGTTCGCCATCATATTTCATTATACAATTTTGCTCAAAACAAAGTTTCCAGCCCCATAGTGAAAAAAATATTTGAGAGAAATATTTTAGCAAAGACGTTTTGTTGACAACCCAGTATGAATGAGAACAAACGCCCATGACTAGAATAGGTCAACGACTAATATTTTTGACCACCTTGCTACCCAAAATTGAATAAGAGGGATTTTTTTATTCGTATTAATGCAAATTGATCTGTTAAAATGATATAATTAGATTAACAAGCCGGTGGGCGCCCAATTTGTAAAGCTTCCTCAGTTCATGGACTATCGAGACAAAAGACGACTTGTTCGAAAGAGTATTTTCTTCCGCGGAGGGTAGAATTCTCGGATTTTCAATATTCGACTTGGTTGACAAATAAATAACGTAAAATTATAAATGAAAAAAATAGAAAATTTTCAACGATCGGCATGTTTTTTCGCTATTGCCACGGAAACGAAATAGCACTTTGGACTTTAGGTGAAACGCACATCACTAGTGTGACAGCATAACCCACGTGAAAAATTTCAGGTAAACAAACATATAGAACAACTTAGAACAGGGGTCACCAACGCGTTGCCCGCGGGCACCAAGTCGCCCGCGAAGTCCATATGAGTCGCCCGCAGGTCTGTTCCAAACTAAGTTTAAAAACGGCTCTTATAAGTAAGCTACATCAATTAAATTTTGTCCTGCTATTTTAGTATAAATCACACTTATATGGGAACGAGAAATGACACTATAATAATTATTGTAACCATCAACCCTATTTTTATTTGACCTCAGTAATGTGACGGGTCAATTAACACTCTTCCAATTATGACATCACACCGAGATCACTTTCCACGAACCCGCGTTTTTTCTTGTCCGTTGGTTAGCGGAGCAGTATACAATTATTGATTCCAAAGAAAAATCCATCATTTCCACGATGAATGGGAGGTGGATCTATTTTTACCACCATGAAAACAGCCTGCGTGTGTCTCATTAGTGGGGCGATTTTAGCGACGGCAAAGCGGAGAAATATTTCACATCTTGTCACGTAATCTTCCGCGCTAACTACCCACTAGTCAGCACAGTACGGACAGAAAAAGCTCGCGAGTCAAATCATACAGCAATCCTATTTTACGAGACCATCGTTTGTTTCAACCTATCCTTTCGAATCAACATTTTTGACATAAACTCAGGATAGGAGGAGATTTACATATTTATCCCGGGGGAGAAGATAGCCGATAGGACGGCTTAACCATATGACAAACCACGGCTTCTCGCCGGTCACCATTCGATGTCGGGTATGGGATTAGTAAGTTATTTGTTTCCGGAAGCATGAACTTGATGGCGAAGGAAGCCTCAACCGACCAGCGGTTACGTGAACCACCCTACGGCGGCGAGGAGTCCAGCAATTCTTTCGTACATAACTATCCCCGCATGGGATTCTAACCTGCGAACCTAACGCCTAACACGATGGGCCGTAGCGCCGCGACTCACACCACCAGGAACAAACATGGAACACGCCTCACTGATGAAAATCTGCAAGACTCGCTCAGAGTTACAGTGTCAAGTTACACGTCGGAGTATAATACTCTGCAACATTTGATAGTACAACTGTTAAGTCCACTTTATCTTAGACTTGTGCAGATTGTTGAAAATCAATTTAAAAACACTCAGTTTTGAAATACAAGTGTTATTGATAGAAATTTATTTGCAACGTTGTGATATGCGTTTGATTTCCTGAAGAATCCTGAAGTTTATTAGTGTCTATACTTCACTAAATACCAGTAAATATATCAATAATTGAAGCTTAATCGAGCAACTGAGTTTTTTAGAAGTGTACATTGAACTGGTAGCCCGCAGCTTAATCTGTACCCAAGAAGTAGCTCTCGGCTTCGAAAAGGTTGGTGACCCCTGACTTAGAATAAGGGTCTCCTATAGAGCGGAGATCAAGTATATTCACACTACTATGCTATACTACAAAGTAGCTAACATAAAATTCATTCTTGAATACTCGTTAGTTTGACATTCGTATAGTTATGATGGGGTATTATTAAAATAACAATTGTATTTTAGTTTTAAGTTAATGAAGTCTCTTTGGTTCTATTGACTAGTCTAGTGAATTTATGAGGAAATTGTGAGTCTAAACCTAAAGTCACGAAGAATTGTAATTTGGTTGTAAATTTCACACTAAATTTGTGCAAAGAAATATTATTAATAAAATATTGCATGCATAGGACTTGGAATTGAAAAACGTGTAATAATAATGAAAAAATCATTTTTGTCGAATTGTTCTGAAGTCAAATTTCCTAGAATTTTGGCAGAAAATGCCTGGTAACAATGTCAAATACAAGAAAATTGCTCGACATTTATAGCTGTAGGAAGACTTATTTTATATATGAGGAAATGTATTTATAGTCAACAACCTGGTTTAGCGGAATCGCTGACACGCACAATTTTATTGGTAAACTCGGATATTGTTGTGACCTTTTTAAGGGAATTAATGGGGAAAACAGTTATTGAATATCGTGTAATGCCAAATTTTCGTGAAATATTCGAGTGACAAATTGTAGTCCATTTTAAGTTTATCCAGTATCAAATCGCACAATACATTTAAAAAAATTAACAATTCTATGAAAAACATAACAATGTACATGAACGGCTCAAGAAACACGTTTATTTACCTGCCCGGTGTTGCGAATTAGCCGAACAAATTTTTGGAAACTCGTTGAACACATTCATGAAGTAATGCCATGTAAATAGTTTGTGCTGCAAACTGGGATGTCTTATCAGAAGTGCTAAAAATGTTGACGACTTTTGCGATTAGTAGCACTTGGGATGTTTGTTTTTTTGCCTACAAAATAGAGTTGGGTTGGCAACGTGATATGCATATGCAAACCATATACATATAGAGCCCCCCATACATGAATATACATTTTTCGATTTTAGAACATAGGTCTACATTTAAAGCCATCCCGGCTGTCTTTATTGATCATATTGTCATCGAGAGTTCATGTGAATATTCTCTGTCTAAATATCGGTTTCAGTTCGAAAAATAGAAAGGAATTGACGTCAACGATACAAAATAATTCGAATTTAGATTTTTTTATGTACAGCAAAAGAAAATGGTTCCATTACATTTGAACCCACGTACATTTGAACCCACGACAATTGCACCTGCATGCCATTGCACCTATGGAATTTTTTTTGGTTTACGGATATTTGTACCCATACTAACCTAACCCATGGGTTTTAGCACCCGCATATTGATTGAACCCGCGGATATACACATGGGTTCAAATGTACATGGGTTCAAATGTACGGTCACCAAAGGAAATATATACAGGAATAATAAAATAGCCTGCCGTTTTCAAGCATTAATAATTTACTTATTCGCCCAATCATACTATTCTGTAGATAACGCCTTCTTCAAAAAGACGTTGTTCAATGTTACATTCTCGTAAAAGTCCGAGCAGGACCAATCAGTATTGATTTTACATGTGATAACGGCTTTCACGTTCTGCTGACCAGCATCCTCTTGGCGTACAGGCCTTACCCGTAACAAATTGTAGCAATTATCCGCTAACGATGTTAGCGTAAAACAACGAAACAAAGAAAATCACGCATTCCACTTTAGTAAACAGGCTACCTGTACTCTATACAGCAACAACAGTAACGAGAACATGCTTAACGGTAATGTTCGTGTAATATGCAGACTGGCTGAACGTCAAATCGGGACTTGTGGCTGGCTGTTCGGGACGCCGGGACAAGACATTAAAAGTGGGACTGTCCCGCCTAAAATGGGACGTATGATAAGTCTGTATATACATCCAATGCCATATAGGGTCAATTTAATATAAATATACAAAACTTTTTAAGTGATGTACAGACAAAAGTCAATGTCATACGCATATAAAGATCAGCCGCTTGTAGTGGATGAATACGACTACGAAGCCGCTACCCCACAACAGATGATCTTACATATCAAGGGGAGTTTGCTGGTGAAATTAAGGATGTTGGAATTCTATCTTTAATAAACTAATGTTTACCTATCTTAGGTAACCTAGCGACAAACTAATTAAAGTCAAGTGTAAACGATCCTGACTCACGCT